AACTGATCATGATATTATCAATAACAAAGGTTACAAGATGAACTTTAAAAACTTTGAAAAAGGATGGAAAACTTTAATGCAGAGCTGTTGAAAACCTCGTGTATGTCAGAAATTACGGTCAAGCAATAACAAAAATATGAAATATTGAATGATGAAAAAAATAACAAGTTATAAATTGGCCAACCTTTCTGGCAAATCAGATTTTAACAACTTTGTAAATACCTTGAAGCCACATCAAGTTAATATTTAGATTTGCATCTGTCATAAAAAATAGGTCAGTATTAATATTTAATTGTTTTTTTAATTTTTCAGAGAGTGACAAAGCCGAGTCATATTATTGGCTGTAGTGATCACTAGTAAATGAAAAAATGAAACATATCAAACCTGAATTGGAATTGGAAAAAAATCTGCAGAGGTTCATGAGTGCTATATAGGGTTTAACTTGATATGACCTTTTAATACGTTGAATTTTATAATTAGTCTAATTTCCACTAATAATTGATAAAGGTTTAAAGCAGTAATACCAAAACAAAATATTGAGTTCCTGTCAATTATTGAAGCTTTTTGTTTGTTTTTTTTTGGCTGCCAGAAAAATTCCAAAAGTCATGGTCAAAGAGACCTATATCAAACTTTTAATTTCAATTGTATCAACTCTGGCGTCAATGTTTGTTTTGAAAAAAAATATCATATTACTGCTGCAAACAAACAAATAATTATATTACTTACTTACTTATGCTCACAGATAACTGTAATAATAACAATTTCATTCTACAATTTTGAATATAAACAGTACACAATATAGGTTGCAATTCTGTAAATATAGACAATGAAGTTTCCCATAGGAACTCCCTTTGTGGCTAAAACTGTGCCACTTTTACTATGAAGTTTCGTGAAAAATTATATCCCAGAACGGAAAGTTGATATGCACTACTATTTTATTCAAAGGTCAAAATATAGGGCTGTGCGGCATATTTTCAACATTTATATGCCCTGAACTTCTAAGAGTTTAAACTTCTACTAAAATTCTATACTACCCCTACCTCCACTTTTGGACCTCCTAAGAATTAAATTTTAGGCGCTACCATGTTTTTCTATACTGGTAACATTCCCAATTTATGTCTCTATGAGATGAAACACAGAGATCATATCTGGGAACCAGTATGTTAACAAATTAACATATCTATGAATATCATATATCTCCCCAAAAGAGGAGTGGCTTGTGGGACAGCTGTATTTACAAAGTGCAACCTATACCTTAATTTTTTTATTAAATTTAATAAAAATTAAAAAAAACTTTCAAAAAACTGCTTCGCCAAGCACAGCCGGATACGACCGCAGAGGTCCAACCCTGAACAGTTGGGGCAAAAATGGACACAATATTCAAGCTTGATACAGGTCTGAATTTGGATTGTAATTAAATATTTAACACATTATAGGTTTCTGACACAGAATAAATGTAGTCAAAGAACTTAAAATTGGTTACATGATTTGAATTCATATTCAATTGAAGATTTCTTGCTTTTGTGCAATACACTGTGCTGTACTTAGTAAATCTGTTTTCAGACTACATACAAAGAATTTGCAATTGTGACCCCCAATTTTTCTTTGGAAAATTGACAATTTCTTAAATCTTGAAGAAAAAAAAATTGACCCCCCCCCCCCAATACATTTTTTTTACCCTTCCCCCCCCCCCCCCTTTCCAGAAATAAATATTAGAAGGAAATTTTCTTGTTTATTTTTTAAATCTTGAGGATAAAAAATTGTCCTCCCCCGAAATTTTTTTTTATCCCCCCCCCCCCTTTTTCCCAAAAAAAATTAACATTTTCAGAAAATTTTCTTTTTGTAAAATGTGGTATATTTTAAGAGACATCAATACACTTAAACACAAGTTATTGTCTGAAAACTAGAAAAGTGCTTGTTTGAGACCCTTTTTGGCCCCCAATTCCTGAACGGTTTGGACAATTACCCTCAAAATGAATCCCAACCATCGACTTGTGGTATTGAACCTTGTGGTACAATTTCAGAGCAATCAACATACTTATACACAAGTTAATGTCCTGAAACTAGAAAAATGCTTGTTTTGGGCCCCTTTTTGGCCCCTAATTCCTATACGGTTTGGACCATCACCCTCAAAAACAATCCCAACCTTTCTTTAGTGGTATTAAACCTTTTGGTAAAATTTCATTGAGATCCATACACTTAAACTTAAGTTATTGTCCGGAAACCAATTGTCTTCGGACGACGACGATACCACGACGACGACAATGCCAACGACGACATGATAGCAAATTATATACGACCCCAAAATTTTTTTGCCGTCGTATAAAAATATCACAGCTGTCATTGAATCCGGTCATTCCATTTTCTTCAAAAACTGCACACACACACAATATGTTGAACAGAGAACTGTTCTGTTTAGTTGCAAGTTGGTGCAACTATAAACTAGAGGCTCCAAAGAGCCTGTGTCGCTCATCTGTTATCTTTTTAAATAAAATTGATACATTATACAACTTGATGCAACACTAATATTTCTAATGCTATATTCCTAACAATTATGGTTTTCAAAGGGTCTAAAGTCTAAAAATGAAGCTTTTTTAAATCCAACAAGGTCTGTATAATGTTGGAAATGCCTTAAAATGTTTTTTTTGGAACACCCTTCAAAAAAAATTTCGGAAGGGGTTCCCCTGACCTCGGCTAGCCCGCCTGGTCTGGAGGGCATTCACCCAATATAAGTATGCTGAAAGAGAAGATATTATAATGGTTAATAGAAAAGGTAACATTCAATAATACTACTATCGTAGGCGGGTCAACAATCCCATTTTCATGTTCAATGAATCGTAAAATTTGGACCAAAACCCAAATTTGCCATACTTTTTAGAAAGTTCCAATCATAATGGCTATGTATGCAAAGTTACAAGTGGATGCAACTATAACTTCATCATAAACTACCTTGACCAAAACCTTTAACCTGACATGGGACGAACGGGCAGACGAACAGATGCACAGACCAGAAAACATAATGCCCCTACTACTATCGTAGGTGAGGCATAATAAAAAGTCCAATTTGCATGAAATGTATTTTATGTTCAATAACTGTAATTGCTTAAAAAGCCTGTCAACTGCAAGAAAACACAAACTTAACCTACACAAGAATAATATCTGCAGACATAAAGAATCAAAGCCTTAAAGGCTGTTAAAGCAATTGCTGCCTAGTTAATGTGTTTGTGACTTTTATTTTTCATCCACATGTAAAAGAATTAAATTTACCCTGAGAGGAGTCTTATCTAGTGAGAATTAATGATGTTTTAACTTCATATCAATAAAAGACTTATCTAACAGAAAGTCATTTTTACAATGTTTAACATTTCCCAGGGTGACGACCTGTTTAACGCTTAAAACCCCTTTCATTACTAATGACATAAAAAATAATGCCAAAGATTTTAAAATAAAGAAATTAATTTACAGTTAAAAAGTTTCATGGATTCATTGTCAATACTCTTGACGATTTTCTGCATAGGATTGTAAATCAAATACTTTTAAAACACTCATGCAGTACAAAAGAAGTCATTCAAACTCCTGTTTGTTTCTTTACTTTTTTCTAATTCTTCTTTCAAAACGTCTTTCCCGGTTGGGCATTGTAAAAGAAATAAGACAAAAGTATTATGGTAGTACTGTATCTTTGAATTTTGTAAATCAGTCGTGCTTTTCTTCTGAGGCTGTGTGAGAACCTTCTTCCAGATGAAAATCCATATGCCATGATCTCAGTCCCTCCCCGTAATCGATCTCTCCTACTTGCGAGGGCCTGAATTCCTAACACGATAAAATCTCTTCATGAATCCTGGATTTTGATTGGTGCCCTGTAGAAGAGGTGACCAATTAGCAATCAGCTCAATTTTATCGAGATAGGTAAATTCCGAACTAATTCCGAATGATTGATTGAAGATTTTTCATTGTCAATGCATTCAGGCGTTAATGAAGTAATCATAGATCAGCGGAATATAAAGACTGAATTATTCAGTTTAGCCATTTCGATGTTCCAAATAAGTTCAAAATTTAGCATGTTTGCAATGCAGCCCAATTATCATGAGAAACAACGATTTTGATTGGCTGATCATGATTGTCTACCTGGGGAAAAGTTCAAAATCAGACAATATTTTATTCGTGTACAAATTCACAAAATCGCGCAGGGCGTATAAAAAGAGTACAGGGTGTCAGTCAGGAAAGGAAGGGCAGATCGCCCTATGAAAACGACCAAACTGGTACACGGTCAATGCTAGAGAGATCTATCTTTAAACTATCAAATGATAAGACGATGGTCATGGTTAGTGTAGGATCATTATGACATTTGGCATTGTCTCGAGATCTTGATTTTTACATTACTATAACGTGCGTAGTGATTTTACAATAATTTTTTTAATAAACGAAGATTTTATGATTAAACAAGAGCAACTTGACCTCTTTCAAAAAAAGAAACACGAATTAAATAACATTAAACCGTATAAGGTATAATTCAGTCAAATTTTCAATATTAAATCAACAACTGACATGTTTCAATATTTTGATGAAACAGCTCAAGAAGGAAATCGCAGGTATAAAAAATGCACCTTATCACTTGACCTTCTACCTTCTTGTGATAAGTCAAACGGTTGTCCTCTTAAATACAAAAATACATCTACAAGAACATATGTTGAAACTTCACAAACCCACTGTTGATTTTCAACTATTTCAATTAATGTATTCCATTAGAAAACATACAGAGGATTTTTAGAATGACAGACGAGGAATCAGTTTTATCTGCTCAAAAACTTTGACTTAATCGATCTTGGTCACAAAGATGGCTATATGCCAAAGCATGAAAGCAATTGCTGTAAAAACGTCTTGACAATTGTTTGATTTCAGGAGGATAGACTTTGGTTACACTTTATGCTGAAACCAATTAGTGGCTGGGGCAAAAAAATTCAACGAAATGGACAATTCTAAAAATTGAAAACAAAATCAGATCAGAAAGGAAATTTTTACTTGCATTTAAATATAACACAATTTAATTTCACACTTTTCAATCATACACCATATATACTATAAATAAAACCCTTTAAAAAGCACTGAATAAACATATCAAATGTGCTGTAAGATCAGATAGATATTTGCAATATAAACATTATCTTTTTACTTTGCAGTACACTTTTATTATTTGTAAAATATCAGAAGTATTTCCTGAAACCAGATAATGATACAGGATCATATAGTATTGTAGTTTAAAAAGTAATTGAACACATAATTGAATAACAATACCTCTCCTGGGTCTTGTACTTTCAAAAGTCAAACAGGTTGTATAACTGTTCTTGATCATGTATAAAACTAAATACTTATTGGAATGCAGTTTTGTTTCATAAGACTTCAAAACATTAGCAGATTACACAAACCAAAACAGAGGTTTAATTTTGAATAAAACTTTGCAAACATAAATTTTTGTTCACATTTCTTAGCAGTCATAAAAAGATAAACTTTTGGATGTTTAAATGCTTTCAACATGTTAAAAATACATTTCTATTTTTGTGAATACTTATTATAGTTTATAATGTCATTTTTACCAGTTTTTTTTACTATAATAGGAAATACATTTTTAGTCAATTTCAAAGCGATATTTTAATCTCCCCCACAATCAATCTTTATTAAGTCAACAAGTTTTGATTGATTGATTTATTATTTTTTGTTGGGAGTTAAAAAATATAGGGAATAAAGCAAGGAGGCTTCAATTAATATATACATGTTTGCCTTTGAGAAAAACTTTACAAAGTTAAAATTGTTATCTTTTTAGCAAATGTTTAGAGTAAAAAAAAATTGTCTTGAAGGGAAAGTTATACTATTACAAGTACATTGTAAAAGTTTTATTGAATGTCTGAGTATAAGATTGATATAGGAGACAAGTAAGATTTGTTATGAAGGTACAACTATCCCCTTGTCAAAACTAACAAATTGTAAAACCTAAATATTGTGTGTTCAAGATAAAATTCTTGTTTATGGGATTAATAAAGGATAGAACACAAAATTACAAATGTAGTATGAAAGTTGCCTATATTTTTTATTCCTTTTTTTTCCAAAATTAACTTAAAATCAAAACATGAGAAACAACAAATTTAGCTTGGAGGAATTGGTTCTTACATATAATAAATTAACAGTATTATCTTGAAAAAAAAGTCCTAAACTTACAACCAAAATCCTCTGTGGTCAACTTAATTTGAAGGAGATGCAAATGGAAAATATGGTCGTAAATCTTTGTTCAGCATCTGACAATCTTAGCCTTTATCTTTAAAACATAAAATTGAAAGACATATGATCATGGACAGTTTGATCAATGATCAAAGTCAACAATTGTATTATGTTACACAAAAAATCATGTTATGACCACTTGGCAGATCTGAAATTCAAATTTAAACTTTCTGATGAAATATCAAGAATCATCAAACATGATGTGACTGGTAGCTGTGTTTAGAATCCTAAAGTTATAGATCAAATTCAAATCATTCCTGATTACAAATGGACACAATATAATATTCAAATATAAAGGAAAGTTTTAGTATCTTTTACATGTATACTATTGTAAAAAATTTGTAAGGGTTCCGCGGAACCCAGTGTCTCGCCTACTTTTACTGTTAATCGCAGACTCAACAAAAATGAGGAAGTAAATCAATAAAAATATTCCTCTTGATACTATCTTTTGATTGTAAGAAGCTTCTCTCCAAGTTTGGTAAAAATCCAGGATAGTTTATGAATCTAATAAATGTTTAAAAACTTTAACTGCAGACTGAATGTTATGTTAACTGGAAGAAAACAAAATTTCCTTCTAGATACTAGCATCTGATCATAAACAAGCTTCTGTTAAAGTTTGGTACAAATCCAAAATAGTATAAGAAAGTTATTAAAATTTTAAAAACTTTAACCACAGAATGAATGTGTTGTTTCCTGGCAGAAAATCTAAGTCCATTTAAAAGTAAAATACGGAAAAAATGGATTTATTTTTTTACAAAATTTCCTTCTAGATACTAGCTTTTGATCATAAACAAGCTTCTGTCCAAGTTTGGTACAAATCCAAAATAGTATAAGAAAGTTATTAAAATTTTAAAAACTTTAACCACAGAGTGAATGTGTTGTTTCCTGGCAGAAAATCTAAGTCCATTTAAAAGTAAAATAAGGAAAAAATGTATTTTTTTTTTTAACAAAATTTACTTCTGGATACTATATTATGATCATAAACAAGCTTCTGTCCAAGTTTGGTAGAAACCCAGGATAGTTTAAGAAAGTTATTAAAATTTCAAAAACTTTAACCACAGAGTGAATATTTGTGGACGCCGCCGACGACGCCGACGGAATGTAGGATCGCTATGTCTCGCTTTTTCGACTAAAGTCGCAGGCTCGACAAAAATCATTGTATATCAAAATTTACGGAAAAATTTAACCAAACTGATAAATGGAAAGGAAAATGTTATATGTAGCAGAAGCAATATTTTCCTAAAAGATCTGCATGAAGATATATGAGTATTGACAGGTTCCTGTCATGGAAAAAGTTGACAAAGTGTTATCCATTAAAAAGGTTGATAGAAAAATCTTTTTAATTGTCATCACTAAGTGTGGTTAAAAAGCAGTAAAATATTTTTGCAATAATAATACAATAAGGTCAGTCATATAGCAAAATATCATGTGACATTAATTCTGATGATATTAACTTGTAAATAATTTTTTCCTTTTCACATCTATTTTTGAACAAATACTTGTTATCATATTAACAGAAATTAAATGTTTTCTTTAAAAAAGACTGCAATAAGAAGTGCTTTATATAACACACAGGAGCAGGCATTCATACCCTATCTTCTTCAACCATACAAAATCACGACACCATCAAATTGGTGACATATATAATATACATGATGCTTGTGTAGAAGTATTGTACATTGCACGTTCCCTTCAAAAACAGAAAAAAACAAACCATGTGAGCACAATTCCATGACCATTAAAACTGGAATATTTTTATATACAAATAAATAGTTCATCTCTATTTCACCCTGCCAAACACAGCTAAAACAAACATTTACTGGAAGTTCTATTAAAAATTCATACACAAGGAGGAATCTTTATGCATTTCATTTTCACACATAATATTAAAACTATCATTCATTAACTTCAAACTCTCCATTTATCATTTACACCAACACATGTACACACATACAGACGCGCATATACTAACACATGTATTTCCATACTCAAATTATGTATAAATATATAAGTACACTGGCAATTTAGAGTTCATATCTTAAAGCAAAAAATTTTTTAATACAACATGTCCCTGTTAATAGTAATTTTCCATTATTTTGGTTCTTCAAAGACTTTGAGTACAAATCTATTAGAGCTTGTAACTGCACCTATGATATTTCTACCGACTTCTCGATACTACCTTCAAATGAAATCTCCTTTACTGGACTCTTGAAATTTTGTTTAATTTGTTGAAGGCTCAACTTGTACTTTAAATGAGGGATAGAAACAAACAATGCTATTTATCTAATTATAACAGCAATGATTTTACCACTAATTATATTGTCACAAAAATCATTATCTAAATTTGAACACGTTTTTACCATTCTTCACTGTATTAACATGACAACATTTTTATTCTGTGAAGAAAATGGGACTAATGAAAAACATATGTCAGCAATCTGTCATGAAGTAAATTCAAGCTGTTTTTTTAATACTTGTGGACTGGTGGTTTTAGAATGGGGCAAGTACATTCAAATTTACCTTACATGAATGGTGGAAGTTTAAAAGAAATGATGTCCAGTCCCTCCAAATTTGGTTCTAGAATAGCCCTTACAATTTTCAGGCTGAATTTATTCTCAATTATCAGATATTAAAAACAAAAGTTGAACTTTACACTTAATACAAAATAGTTGTACAATGAACATTTAAATCTTTGTACAATGAACATTTAAATCTGTTTCATTTTCGAAAATCCTTAATTTTAGCGAAAAAATTTAAACAAAACAGACACATTCTTCTTCTGCTTGCCTTTAAATACTTGTCATTTTATATTTTCATAAATATTCCAACGCTTTGTCCATGTGAATAGATTTTTCCCATCAAATGAAACTTTGTGAATAGTTATTGCTACACCATTATATTGTGACTTTGTAAACTTCTATTTATGATATGGAAACATTTTTCACTGATCTTTGCACACACCAATATCTCTAGGGCTCTTTTCATCAAAATTTTAATTCCTAATGATACTTGTAGTCATGTAAATTTAAATATGACTTACGAAAAATCTTAATTGTAAATTTTTTTGTGAGAAGTTACTATATTGTAAATTCTACAGAGATGGGGTAATCAGTTGCTTGATTCAAATACTAAATTCCTTAAAACAGACTTATTATTAACTTTTTATTTGAGATTTAACATTCAGTTTGACCCTAAATTTGTTTCTGTTTCTATCAAGCCCTGACATCTATACAATCTATCTAGTATATAAAACAGTTGTACAAACTGTTTTCTTGGTCAAACCAATCATGTACCCTCTGCTGTTAATCATGAATCCCCTCAATAACGGTTTCTGATAACATATATTACTTACAATATAATTCATAGAATAGAAAACTAATTTTTCAAAAGAATAACTCTTTTTTAAAGCCAAACTGAAATCATTGCAATCCTATAGAACTCAGCCTACTGATATATGTTACTAATGAAAACAAACACCCTTACATAAATTCACAATCTAACCCCCTATCAGACTTTCTCATTCATCAAACACAAAACTTCCATAAAGCATATCTCAAACAAAAATTAAAGTCAGCAATATACATCATCTAAAATCTTCATATATATATATTTTAAACAAATTATGCATACACACAAAAATCTTAAAATATACACAAACACTAAGACTATTTACACAGACTTAATTGTACACAAAATCACAGTAAAGTCATATAATGTATTGTAATGCCATGGCAACTGAGATGAGAGGAACATTGACTATGAGAAGGTCAACAGGTGATCAATATTCTGACATGATTTTCTAAGTATATTTCAGCTTAGTGCACAAATGAAATGTATCGCCCTATCTATATGAATTTGGTCTGCCACTGTCAGTTTATAAACTGTATTGTCTTTCATTAAAGCCATAAATGAGATCTACGGAATATCTTACAAATGAAAATATTTATTTCTAGATTTCTGGGTTTACATTTGTTTATTAATTTCTAGGTTCACATTACTTATTTTTTGCAATTTCTCTAAAATCTGAAATTCTCATATTAATAATAAAATGATTTAATTTCTGAATTTATCTTATTTATTACTGAACAATTCTAATGAAAAAAAAAAAGAATTTTCATTGTTAAATGTCAACATAATTTTGTTTTTTTACAATATCTAAAAAAAAAATTCACCAATTTTTACAATGAAAGTTAATACCATCCTAAATTGAGATGTTCATAATTTTTATAATTACAACACAAATCATTTCTTTGTAGAGACAGTACAAGCTTTAATATTTTCAGTATTATCTTTGAACATACCTATCAAAGAAGGTTTGTTGCCATTTTTGATAAAAAAATTTAAGGAAATCTAATACATTTTCCTGTATTCCATAAATTTCCTCACTATATAGAATGTAAGTCAGTATGTATTTTCTATAAAACATAATATCACAAATGTTTAAAGCTGCATAATCCAGCACTATCAAATGACCAAACAAATCCATGTTGTATGGAATCTGTTTGATTTAATGGACCTTTGACCTTTGAAAAAAATCAACACACTGTAACATCAAATTATACCTTGTTATAACGAAACCAGCTGTAATGCTGGTGACCTCATTTCTTGTTAATGTCACATGGTAACTATATACAATAAAATAAATAAATAGTTTAACAATATTAACAGTTCCCTTTGACATAAAATTATGTGCATTTAAATTGGGAAAGTTATGTCAGATGAACTTAAAACAGCTCATTTCCTTCTGTAAATTTCTTATAAATAAGAGATTAGGAAATGTATAAAGAAGAAATTAAGACAACAGATAGACGATCGTTAATTTTTGTTTCGGTAAATATAATGTAGGATTTTTGGTGCCTTTTTTATCAAAGATTTATAAATGATGCATGTTTCTTGTGTGTTTGCTAAGTTTTTAGCCTTTTATATATATATATCCATACAATATGATGAAAGTTTTATTGACAACTGACCATAAGCAAGTAAATGACCTAACTTTTTCACAACAAGAAAGATTGAGTACACCTCCACCATTTTAGCCAATGAACTAAGTGTACCTGGAGCTGCTACCATGATATTGACACTCTATAGTTATTGGTGTAGTTAGATGTTCCTCAAAACCCTCTCAATTACCAAAGCTAACCTTTTCATATAAAACAAAGTAAGAAAATCAATAAAAAGAAAAATCAATATAACTTGCACATTCACCCTGTTGTTGGAGACTGCAATGTTGTAAAGCATACTATTTCCCCCAAATTTCTATATATCAGATTACAAAAAATATGATACGTACTTCATCCTCTTTCACAGGTAACACTTGTCTCATATTATTGCAAATGCACTAAAATGCATTCCGAAAGGACAAATGCTCATTGTAGAATAAAATCATATTTTTTCCATGTAATTAGAGGACTGAATTTAAATCATATAATAATAGCAAATTATAAATGTTGGAATATTTCCTTTACTGCTTCAACTTACCACATAACTATTAAAAAAAAATGTACAGGATACTTTTTTGCATTGTAGCTTTATTTGTTTCTAATTAAGTTGCGTATTTAAAAATATATGAAGAAACCGCAAACAAAAAAAGCATATACATATATATGAAAGATACTAAAAAGGTCTTTAACTTTGAGCATTTTATCATGGTTAAACATCCTTCACTTTCAACTTCTATATAAATTTCAGACAGCTATCAAGTGACAGATATAAAAGCACAATCTTATACACAATATGTGGCTGACAAACTTCTTTCCCACTAAAAGTGCACATGACTTTATGACATAAGAGCAGTACAATTTATCAATAACATAAAAAGAAAGACCTGGTAGTGTAGAGATAATTGTTTACATTAATAAGCAGGCGTAGGTGAAGAAAAGATGAACTGAGAGTACTGGCTATTTATAGGAGTTTTTGGGGACGCACACATGTACATTAAATCATAGTCTTCTGTGTGTGATTGATTTAAAGTAGGTTCAGATGAACTCCGATGAACTTTAGGTAAAGACCTTTCTAATGTCTCCAGTACTGATAATATCTGAAATAGAAAAGTGTAGAATTAAAATCTGTATTTCAGGATTGCAGATGAGCAGCAGAAATTATGTATACAAGTCTTCCTTTTTCAGATCAATTTCATTTATACAAATTGTAACGTAAATGAGTATGTGTGGTAAAGGTTCTATTTGGCCCCTTATATCAATTCCTTTATCTCAAGGTGAGTTGATGTAAAACCACGTGAGAAAGTGAACTAGTACATGTTTTATAAAGCTTTTCTTATAAACATTACCAGTTACTTCTCTAAATAGGCCAAACAAGTGAATCTGTGAGCTACTGCTCACTAATGATACACCCGCCCCCCTAAAAGTATAAGGTAAACAGGAAGTTGTTGAGTGATGAATCTGAAAACTCATCACACGGTATAGCTAACTCATAAACCCTGAAACCAAATTTCAGAAATCCTTGTAATGTAGTTCCTGAGAAAGATGCGACGAAAAATATTCATGGGACGGACAGATGGACTGACGGATGGAAGGACAGACAGAGGTAAAACAGTAAACCCCCACTTTTTGAAAGCGGGGGTATAAAAATAAATTGTGGGCAAAATCTTCTTATTTTAATCTCATTTTACAATACTAAGAATAAATTGCTTCACCGAGAGCAGCTGAATATGACTGCAGAGGTCCAACCCTGAACAGTTAGGGCAAAAATGGACGCAATATTCGGGCTTGATACAGGTCTGAATTTGGATTGTAATTAAATATTTGACACATAAAAGGTTTCTGACACAAAATAACTGTAGTCAAAGAACTTAGAATTGGTTATATGATTTGAATTTATATTCAATATTTTGCTTATGTGCAAATACACTTTGCTGTTGCGAATTGACCCCCCCTCCCCCCACAAAAAAAAAAAAAAAAATGTACCCCCCCCTTTTTTTTTTTTGCTTTTGTGCAATACACTATGCTGTCTGTTGCGTATTAACACCCCCCCCCCCCCCCCCCCACTTTTGTTTTGCAAAAAAAATAAGATTTGAAGAATATTTCTTTTTAATTTCTGAAATCTGTTAACTTAATCTATTTTATAATAGAATTTAAAATATGGTGTCAAATCTTTCATATGGATTTTTTTGTAAAAAAAAAAAGATGCAACATTTGTAGATATTTTTACTGGTCTTCCTTTATAAATATGCATTTCTTTAAACATAATTTAAACGCAGTGTAAGGGAGGTAATCAAAATGTTGTATTTGGATTATCTCCTTTACACTGCTTTTAAATTGTCTTAATTAGACATTAACCATTACTTTATACATAAATTAAAAGCAGTGTAAGGGAGGTAATTCAAATACATCATTTGAATTACCTCCCTTAAACTGCTTTTAATTTATGTATAAAGTAATGGTTAATGAATAATTAAGACAATTTACACTGCTTTAAATTATGTTTTGTACTAAAGTATTTGTCCATTAACCAGGACACCCTTGTTTTTCCCCCTTTTTTGCCCCTAATTCCTAAACGGTTTGAGCCATAACCCCCCAAAGCAAGTCCTAACCATTCCTTTGTGGTATGGATACTTGTGGTATAATTTCAGAGAGATCCATACACCTTTCCACAAGTTATTGTCTGGAAACTAGAAAAATGCTTAACTTTGGCCCCTAATTCCTTAACTGTTGGTACCATAACCCCCAAAATCAATCCCATCCTTCCTTTTGTGGTATTGAACCTTATGGTAAAATTTCATAGAGATCCATTCACTTAAACTAAAGTTATTGTGCGAAAACCAATGTGTCTTCCGACTACGACTACGACGCCGACGTCATACCAATATAAGACCGCAAAATTTTTTTACAGGGTATAAAAATGGAGTACATGGCTCAATTAACTAAAAATTCAAGAATGATTGTATTTTTTCAACAAAAATACTGTTAAGATTTTATTTTTTGGCAATGCATAATCACTTTCACTATATATTTTAGTGCCTAAAAAATCAATGGGAATTCTCCATTTGGTAAAAATTTAACATAATTTTGTGCTAATTTTGAGATCATAAAAAGAATGCAAAATATAAATAAAGAAAAAAAACTTATTAAAGATACCAGGCTTATAATTTTGCATGTCAGATGTATGTTTCGTCTACAAAAGACTCACCAGTGACTTTCGAATCAAAATGTTGAATAAATTGCTTGGCCGAGCGCAGCTGGATACGACCACAGAGGTCCAACCCTGAACAGTTGGGGCAAAAATGGACACAATATTCGCGCTTGATACAGGTCTGAATTTGAATTGTAATTCAATTTTTTGCTTTTGTGCAATACACTATGCCGTTGCAAATTGACACCCCCCCCAAAAAAAAAATTTACCCCCCTTTTTTTTAGCTTTTGTACAATACACTATGCTGCTGGGAATTGACCTCCCCCCAGTTGGGGTAAGTATGGACACAACATTCAAGCTTGATACAGCTCTGACTTTGGATTATAATTAAATATTTGACACAGCATAGGTTTCTGACACAGAATGAATGTGGTCTAAGAACTTAAATAATTTTAATTTAAATATTCAAACCATATCATTATTATTTGCTTTTATATTTAATCAGAAATAACCAATTTAAAATGGAAAATTTTAAAGAAAAAAAAAAAAAAAGGGAAAAAAAAATCCACTCCCAAATTTTTTGAACCCCCTTATGATTCATCACCCCCAAACTCAATCCCAGCCTTCCCTTTGTGGTATGGTACCTTGCAGTACAATTTCAGAGAGATCCATACACTTGAACACAAGTTATTGTCTGGAAACTAGAAAAATGCTTATTTAAGGCCCCTTTTTGGTCCCTTATTCTTAAACAATTTGGGCAATTATCCCCAAACTCAATTCCAGCTTTCCCTTTGTGATATCTAACCTTTTAGTACAATTTCAGAGAGATCCATACACTAACACAAGTTATTGTCATGAAACTAGAAAAATGCTTGTTTTTTGCCCCTTTTTCCTAAAATTTGGAAGCAATTACCCCCAAAATCAATCCCAGCATTCTCTTTGTGATATGGAACCTTGTGGTACAATGTCAGAGAGATCCATACACTAACACACAAGTTATGTCTGGAAGTTACAAAAATGCTTATTTTCGGCCCCTTTTTGGCCCCTAATTCCTTAACTGTTGGTACCATAACCCCCATAATCAATCCCCACCTTCCTTTTGTGGTATTGAACCTTATGGTAAAATTTCATAGAGATCCATTCACTTAAACTAAATTGAGAGTGCGAAAACCAATGTGTCTTCGGACAACGACGATGCCAACGTCATACCAATATACGACCACAAAATTTTTTTGCGGTCATATAAAAAGCAGTGTAAGGGTAGTAATTCAAACACAACATTGTACTTAATTGTCCATTAACCAGGACACCCTTATTTTTTCTCACTTTTTTGCCCCTAATTCCTAAACTGTTTGAGCCATAACCCCCCCCCCCCCCCCCCCAAAGCCAATCCTAACCATCCCTTTGTGGTATGGAGACTTGTGGTATAATTTCAGAGAGATCCATACACCGTTCCACAAGTTATTGTCATGAAACTAGAAAGATGCTTATTTGGGCCCCTTTTTGGCCCCTAATTCCCAAACTGTTGGGACCATAACCCCCAAAATCAATCCCAACCTTCCTTTTGTGGTTATACACCTTGTGTTTAAATTTCATAAATTTCTATTCACTAATACTAAAGTTATTGTCTGGAAACCAAATGCCTTCAGACGACGACGTGCTACCAATATACGACTGCAAAATTTTTTGCAGTCGTATATTAAACAAATCTAGAAAATGACATAATGGACCAAAAATTCTAAAAAAGAAATATTTATTTTACTTCCTTAATGACTTGGGTCATAATTTAAACTATTATACAATGTTCTCATGGCTACTTCATCCTAATTTGAAATTTAAGTTTTCAAACTTATTTTTTATTACATTTCATGTGCTTTGATCAAAACTGGTATTTTGTTGTTGCAAACAAGCGGGTAGTTTGTCTTCAAAAAGATAGCAAAATAGTTTTAATGTTTTTACCCAGCCAAATTCTGTATGATCCTGTCCCAAGTCAGGAGACTGTAATTCAGTAGTTGTCGTTTGTTGCTGTATATCATTTTTGCTTTTCGTTTTATATATAATTTTGGCCTTTGGTTTTCTTTTTTGAATTGTTTTACATTGTGTCATTTTGAGGCCTATTATAGCTTGGTATGCCATATGGGTTTTGCTCATTGTTGAAAACATACTGTTACCTATAGTGAACTATAGTTGACTTGTATTCTAATCATCATACATTAAATTAGTATGGTCAAAACAGATGTCGTTTTATCAAAGAATCTATCCACTGAGTTTTAGGACAAATACTTCTGACTCCAAAATTATTCATACCTGTGGAAATAAAGGCCTCTGTTCTCGTTCAAATTTACAGCAGTCTTGAAATAAAATCTTTAATCTTTTAGGGCTATCTGACCTTATTTTACTATAGTCTGGTCGCAGATATCCTTTACCAACCATGAATAATATCTACAATAAGAAAGGAAACACCTCCTTACATACTATCTACAACTGAAATATAGACAAGAGGCTGACACAATGACAGCAAACCAGGGTTTTATTACATTTACTAGTGTCATTGTTAAAGCATTGAAGAACTTCTGAACAGCAACTGTGAAAATTACAAATATCAAACCTCCATATAATAGCATTAAGTTTGAAAAGGATTGATAGGTTGTACAATTCTCAAGTTATTGCACGGCAACAGCCTAAAATCCCATTTTTTCCGATCATTCAAGGAGCACAACTCAAAATTTTAAAAGCATTACCGTATAAAGGTTTTTTTTTTTGTGGGTTTTAAAATTTTCTCGATTTAGGGGCAACAAAGTATACAAAAAATTTAGCATTTTTTATTTTGGCTGCATCTTAATTCCCAATTAAATATTGTGGGGGTTACTGAAATGGTTGTAAAATTTGACAGGAAGAAAACAGTGAAACATGTCTTAGGTGAATGATGTCTTATTTATTGATTATATTCTGATATAGTTAATTAATAGGATATGGTAGCTCAGATAATTGTCACAGGTGTACAAACTTCTCATAAATGTTACATTTGATTAGTTACGCAATTGACCGGACTTTTGATGTACTAATTAGGTTATAAAATTATGAAGAGTGACTTACAATTCTTAGATAATTTGACACTAATAAATAAGGATAAAATACCAGACAAAGTACCTTACATTCTCATATTATTTGACACTAATCAATAAGGGTATACATGATAGGCAGTTTTATTAGAATTCACATCATTTTATAAAATAACTTTGGCATTTAGGTTGTTAAAACTAACATATACCGTTATTGACCTGCTGACCAGGAAAAATAGATCATTCACAAAACGCTTTAGCAAATAGAAAATACCAAACGCAGGCATAAATTATTTTCATTTATCTGCCAAAATAAGCGAAAAAAATAAACACCCCTCAAAAATAACCCGCTATACACTATTTGACAAGTTCTCATGTTATTGCACAGAAATGACAACAAGTGTCATATTTCAATCAATCAAGGACCATACCTCCTGAACCCCATAAGTAAAAATCTTCAAAAATCAAATAAACCTCTATTTTGTCATCAGTAGCAACATACTAAAACTTGAAAAGCAATGACTGAATGGTTCATAAGTTATTGCACTGAAACAACATAAAGTGACAATATCCAATCAATCAATGACCATTTCTCCTAAACAACAAAAGTGAAAATCGTGACTATGGAACTTGACATCCATTTTGTTATCAGTAACAACATGTCACAATTTGAAAAGCATTGGTTGAAAGGTTCATAAGTTATTGCACAAAACAGCTGGAGCTGCCTGCCAAAATTTGAACACACCTGATATTTTTAGTTAGGTTTAAAACAATGAGCGTACACAGAAATGAATCTGTAGTGGCAATGTAATGAAGAATTAAATTATGAACAGGTTGCCAAACCACTTATGATCAAAAACATCATTTGGCTAAAAATTTAATGAAACTCATGGAATGGCAATTCGTGCTACTGCAATGCTTGCTGTTAAAAAACAATTAAAAACAAGAAATGATTGTAACAGGATGCTGTTACGAAGTCTCCCAAACGAAGCTCCCATAATTCATAATTCCCAGGGTCGCCTGACATTGGGCAACATCCAGTCAAAATTGGTTTGGTCCAGTAAAGTTATATGCATTAGTGATGCCTGGGGACTAACCTTGTATATCATTCAAATCATCTTGGCATGACAAACCAGAATATATATGGTTTAGGGGTGGGGATCTCGACCATTTACAAGATACTAGAACATTGGGAGTGGGGAGGAACCCCTGGGGACTGGCCCTATACGTCATTCAAATGTTCATTACATGACGAACAGGAATATATATGGTTTAGGGGTGGGGATCTCAACCATTTACAAGATATTAGAACATTGAGGGTGGGGGGGGGGGAACCCCTGGGGACTGACCGTATACGTCATTCAAATGTTCGAGACATGACAAATAGGAATATATATGGTTTAGGAGTGGGGATCTCAACCATTTACAAGATATTAGAACTTTCTCAAATGGCAGGGGGTCGGGATGACCCCTGGGGACTAACCCTGTATATCATTCAAACCATCTTAGCATGACAAACCAGAATAAATATGGTTTAGGGGTGGGGATCTTGACCACTTAAAAGATATTAGAACTTTCTTAAATGGCAGGGGGTGGGGGTGACCCCTGGGGACTAACCCTGTATTACATTTGATGTGCTTTATCTTGACAAACCAGAATATATATAGTTTAGGGGTGGGGATCTCAACCATTTACAAGATATTAGAACTTTCTCAAATGGCAGGGGGTCAGGATGACCCCTGGGGACTAACCCTGTATATCATTCAAACCATCTTAGCATAACAAACCAAAATATATATGGTTTAGGGGTCAGGATCTTGACCACTTACAAGGTATTAGAACTTTCTTAAATGGCAGGGGACGGGGGTGACCCCTGGGGACTAACCCTGTATTTCATTTAATGGGCTTTATCATTTAAAACATTTTCAATTAAAAAGATTGTGTCTATCACAAACGGTTTTCAATTTATAATCATTTGAAAATTTAAAAAAATAAAATCCCATAGGGTTCTATAGTAAAACCCTCTTTTCTTTTTGCCCCTCAAAGTACCCCTTTATAAACCCCATTGCACAAACAAAACCCTGATTGCACCACTAGACATGTTAGTCTAACATATTGTGAAACCCTAAGTTAATCTGACAAGCGGTTTTGGAGAACGGGTGCGTACAAAGTTCAAATTTAAAAGCGGCGGAAGAAGAAGAAGAAGAAGAATAACAACTAGATTTGCCATTGCAAGAAATAGCGGCTGTCACCCTGCCCCCCCCCCCCCCATTGCCACTAAGCAGCAGCCATTTCGAAACATTTTCAACAGTGAATGCACATAAATATATTGCTATACATCTTTCTATCAATTTTCAGAACATTAAGAGCATTTTGAAATTTTTGACATTTTTTGTTTCCATGGCAACAGGAGCCATTTTGGAAATTCCAATGTCAAAAGTCTCATCTTTACTTGCCAGTTAACATTAATATTAAGTTTCAGTAAATTTGGAGCATTTGGAAATTTTTAGTCATTTTTGAATTTGTGCCGTTTCCATGGCAACAGTGATCGCTTCCAAAATTTCAAAGATGGATGCCATATTGGCACATGACAGGGAACATTCCATGAAAGAATCATGGTATTTGACCTACCATGTTAAGTGAGTAAATGCTACCTAAAGAATTTTCCTATAGGGTCCAATGTTAAAACTTTGTCTCCGGTTTCCATGGCAACGAAGGCCATTTTGGAAATTCCAAAGTCAAATGCCACATTCACATTTGCCAACTAACATTTCTGTAAAGTTTCATTAAGTTTGGAACACTTTCCTATTTTTCGCATTTGTGCTGTTTCCATGGTAACGGTGGCCATTTAAAAAATTCTGAAGATGTCCTGCACAACTTTAGATGGTGGACCTCATTATGCTAACCATTCAATAGGATTGGTCCACTAAACTCCCAGAAACGCTTCGGACAAAATAGGTGGAAGAAAAATAATAATAAAAAGAAACAATGGAAAAGCAATATGTCACCCGACATTGTCGATCGGGTGACATAATAATAATAAGAACTGAGCAAAAACAATAAGTCTTCCCAAACTTCGTTTGGGAGACTTAAAAATATTTTCTAAATGTATGAATCAATATTTTACAGTTATATTGTTTTATGTAATCAAATTATCTGCGTTCTTTATATTTTTTTAGTAATGAAGCTTAATGCATAACACATATTTTTTACTGCTTTAGCTTAGTGTATGAATATATTACTGTACATAGTGCTTTAGCATAATACATATATATGTGCTTAATTTCAAAATGAATGAAATGACTTGTGTATGACATGTATCTATGGATAGATGTATATATTTAAAATGTATATGTTTATCTGCATTGTGTATGATATGTCTTATGTATGTAATTTGTATCTATCTTTTGTATCTATGTCTGTTTTAAAAGCTCAGAGCTTATTTTGTACTGTCTAAATAAAGCTTTAGGTTTGATTTGATATAAAAGATAAAATTTTTCCTTTGTTAAACCATACTATAGGCATAGAAAGCCATGGCAAAGCCAATACCTCAACACAAACATTAACAATTTTCACTGTCAATTACCGTAGAAAGGCTTGTATAGTCCGCGGTTTTATTCTCCAAAATTGGACCTTCCAGACGGGGTGCGGACTATAGAGTACAATAAGCAAGAAATAAGAGAAAAATTTCAATTTCGTGGTCGAGGTGGTTTGTTTACGTTCCGCCATCTTTGTTATTTCTATTGTAGAGGGCGCTCTTATTATTTTTCAAACTAATAATTTTAACTCATCCATATTAATAAGTTATTTCTATTCAATATCAAATTAATACTGATAAATATAAAAACTAAACCTTTCATTACAAATTTCTCGTTTCTTTTCAATGCATTGGTTGAAATAAACTGGTATCTGCTCGATTGAAACGATACAAACATAGTGAAAAAGACAACCGTAAACCAGCTTAGAATTTGTAAACTACAAAACGAAATCGGTTATTGTTCGTTCCGTTTTGGTGTTTCATACTGACTAATATGGTTTGTATTAGCTTAAGACCCTTCAAACATTAATGTGATAGATATATTAAAGACTGTTTTACAAAAGGATGGAACTGTTTTACTTTCAAAGTCGTATTATAGTGATATCTGTTATGTACGGATTTCGACTCTCACCGGTTAATTTCTTCTTTTACACGTGCTTTTTAAACTTCCTGTTTAAACATACACAAGTTTCTAAATTGTTTTTTAAGTGAATTAAACTTATTTTAACAATCATGAAGCATTCTAGAATCATTAACAAGCAGTTTCAGCTTCTGTTTGATGATGGAAAACAGGTTTTTCCAAGAAAATACCGCAAACGACCGCACAGGATTTGAAATTACCGGAGTTTCATTAGACCTTTTCTAACAGTTACAAAAAGTTTTTTTACCTAAAATTTTGTGGGGAGAAGGGGGTGCGGACTATGTACCACTGCGAACTATACAAGCCTTTCTACGGTAACACAATAGGAATAAAATAACCAAACAACACTGTTTTCACACTTCTATATATATATCCTATTTTGACTCCTCAAAATTCAAGAGTCTATCCTAAATTGAGGTAAACTGTATGGCTTACCAAATACCGTTTCGATTCCTAACATCACTGAAGAGACATTAACTGTCGAAATCCGGATATGGTGTACAAAAACCTTTGCACCTTTTGTGTTTGCGGTATACCATCTTTTCCGCAAGTTTACTATTTTCTGTTTAGTATTTAATTTATAATTAAGATCCATTTATTACATCGGTGATCCGTTTATTTGGCAATCGCCAATGGCAGTCAGCAGGGTTTAAGAACATTTGTTGTTCGACCTGTTAGTCAAATGCGTTTTGTTAAAATATACTTTTTTACTTTTTTGGTCTTTTGGAAAATGTTGTTTGTGCTGTATTTAGACCCCTCTAACAAGAAATTTTATACAACGCAATCATAGGTTTGAACGCTGTTTTCAATTTAGACTTGTTTATATATATATATACCTGATCTTTGTTACTGATATTGCCATAAGGAAGTTGGCCTGTCATCAGTTCATACAATACAATACCAAAGGAATATACATCTGATTGGTTAGTATAAGGATTATCTTCCTGCATACGTATCACTTCTGGGGCCTACAAAAACATAGTAATGAGAATGAGGCTTTGTAATATCATCTGGTTCCCATTGCTGTTTAGTTTTAAACTATAGGCTTCACAGAGCCTGAATTGCTAACATTGCAAAAAATATTGTCAAATTATAAATCTGCACCCAACAGTATCATAATACTATTCAAATATACAGCTTTTCTAGTTCATTCATGTGAAATCAAGACTATTTTATTATTTCTACTTCTGTGCCAGTATTACATTTAATTTACAATATGCAAATACTATCATCACATTGGCTTGGTTAACAATTTTGCTGTCTACATATCCGCTTCCAAGGAAATAATAAAATTTTCATATTAATCATAATTAAAGGGCAATAATCTAATAGACAGTTACTTGACAGCTCCAGTGATTTTTTTCAGTGTTCTCCCATAACATTGTTATACTACAAATGTTTGCATTTAAAATCATTAATTGAAAGTGATGCATAATCCATCTGCTTATATAGTTTTAAGTATCAAGTACTGGGGACTGTTAAAGCAATGATAATTAGTTTTTTGATTGGTCAAACATTTACAGAAAAACCAGAAAAAACAAATTTTCTGATTTGTGAAATGTAACAGATACGTACAGAGGTTGTCCGCATATTGATATTGTACAATATCAGCTGTGAGTCACAATATGAAGCTTTTTGTCGAGTGAGTGCAGCGAACGAGATCAAAAAGGCTTCATATTGTGTCAAGCAGCTGATATTTTACAATATGAATATGGAGACTACCAGATAATCGTTTTATCAGGTTGTATTTGCATATTTTGAATGATAGAAACAAGTGTTTTCTTTGTTTCACCAGCAAATCGGAAGATGATGTGATAAGTTCAGGTCAAACTTATCAACATAGGTTCATATATTATGACGTCAGTGATATGTCCGGTTCAAAGTTATTGAGGACGGGTCAACGTATTTGATATCTCAAAGCTGTGATATGCAATTTTATTAAGAGCTGATCAGAATGATACAGACAGAGGGACGACGGATATTAAAACAAACTTAAACAAACCATCCATAATATTGAGCCTGTTGGTTGTTGGAACTGGTGTGACCCACTCCACCGTGTTTTCACAGTTGCCAGACCAAAATCACCAATTTTGACAGTTAAAATATCTGTTAAAAATATGTCTGAAAAGCTGAGTTAAGAAAAAAGTATATCAAAATACAGTAAGAATGATACAGTCATGGATGACTTTGGAATCGAAGTAAGCAGTCATTTATGTTGAGTTAAAATACTGAGGAAAGGTGTAGAAATTTAAACACACATGGTCAAACAGACAAATTTCTTTTAGTTGTGAATCTATAGATTTTTTCTTATTATGGGTGTTGCAGTCTGAGATTAAAGTAGTCTGTCTGAAACTGGTAACTATGTGATTTGGAGGATCAAAAGACTTCATTTGGGATACCTGAGTGAACAACAAAATATTAGCCTGTAAAGATATTTTATCACAATTTAACATTTTTACCACTTTTGCAGACCATTAGAATTTGATGTGAATATCAATTTTTAGCTTATTAATTAAAGATACAAATTCACAGAAAAGCTTAATAGATATTTTATAAAAATCTTAAAACAGAAGAGATTTCATAACTCAATTGACAAAATTAAAGTAAAGTCGTTATTCTGAAGCTTAAAAATATATAATTAATTATGATATCAAACAATTTTTTTATTTCAGTTAATTTACAGGGCCTAAAAAACACCCCCTAAAATGTACCTTACCCTTGGGTGATTAAGACCTTGACATATTGTATCAAAAATATGCATGTTGACCTATAAATGTCTTTTCTTGTTTTATTTTGTTTTGGGGTTGCTGTCTTGTATGCATCTACTCGATATATTATTTTTTCATACCAAAATAAGGGACAATTAATAGTAACCAATCTTTTTCATATAGTTATTTCTTATAACAACGTGATTACTACACAATTTCAACATGTTTTTTTAGGTAGTTATGTATCTTGTGTTGTGAAAAATTGCATATTTTGTCATACAATGGTGCTGCTGTCAGATGATTTTCATTAATTCAATTTAACTTTACTCAAAAGGATACTGTTTGACTTGAGATCTCTATGAATTATTGACTTCGCATGTAAATAGCTGAAAAGGAAAGAAAACAGTATTAGAAACATTGTTTAAATGTTTTTCACATTGTTTACAGTGACATCTGATCAGGTGTTTTTTTCTTACTATTTTACCTTACATTTAACTATAGGTCTTCTCTCAACATGTGCTATCACTTTCACCAATTTCAGAATGACAAATATTCTTATCAAGTTGCTTTCAGTTGTCTGATATATAAATTGTTCCTGCATTTGTGTTTTCTACAATACTCGTCTTTATGGAATTGAATGATTTTCTGAACTAACTTTTTTTTGGTACACTTGTTTATATACTACCTTAATTTAATGGATCAACATTTTAAGAGAAATTGTGGAAAACGTAAACAAAATCAAGGCCATTTAGAGCCTTACATATGGTATAAGCACTTTGTTGATCATACATTGACCTATGGATGTATTTTGTGTGTGTATGTGTGTTGTGACGGCTTCACCACATATCGTTTTATTCATTATTACCATAGTTTATTTGTCTCAGTAAAGATTTTAGAAAAACATCTTGTAGCAAAAGATATTTTGGATGTCTCATATCAATACAGTATTGACAAGATTTCAAAATGGGACTTTTTCTGCAGTTTTTTTTTTTAAATGAAAGAAGTTTGAAACCCTAAAGCAAATACGAAAGATAAAATTCAACAATGTAAAATACTTGTATCTTACATGTCTTACTGACATCTTGGAAACATCTGGAAGATGTTATTTAATGAATATTATGATACTTTTCAATTTTTCAAATTCAAGGATTAAAAAAAGTGGCCTTACAATTAATCTAAGACAGAAAACAACAATGACTGGGACAGACAGACAGATATTGGTGTTGGTTCATAGGAATCCATTTATATCTTCTGTATAATTCTGTCAAACATTTTATTGCTTTTGGCTACTAAAGAATTTACTACAAATTTGTTCAGGACATTGTACATGTTGCACAAGATCCAACAGTACTTAAATAACAAAAGAAAACATAAACTAAATTACCCATTAAAGTAAAACCCACCAATAAATATTGACAGAAATATATCCTGTGCTTCAAATAAGTACCAAACAGTCAAAAGCCTGCCTTTGAATATATATGTAAATATAAATTAATGCTGACCTACTGACCCTAATTTTCGTCAAACCATAACATTAAACAGTGACATATATCTTTTGGTTAACTGGTTATTTTTTTGTTGTCATAAGGGTCACCATCTTAAATCTATCCTTTTAAAAGTGTACCCTGATACAGATACTGTGAATGCATTATTATTCTTGGGATACCAATTTTTATGGATTTCATGTGTATAGGTTAACCAGGAATTTAGATGTTCAACAAAGTACAACTTTTCTATTGGTTTCAATGCAGATTTAGACAAAAACATGAAATCAAATATCCAAGAAAATACGTTTATTCCTCAATCCACGAAAATTGGTATCGAGGAAATAAATGAATCGACATATAAACTTACTCCATGCCTTGAGCCGTCTGTCTAGATATTTCCATTAATGTTATCATTTCAAATTTATGTTCTTGAACATGGAGATGTTTATATAAACTAGAACCTTCACACCACTGGGTTATTATAGCTAACCATGGCTTCGACGTCCAACCCATAAATAATAATACATTTGTATGCCTCGTTTTCCTGAAAAAAAAGAATAAAGATGTATTTCTAAAAAAAATTCAAAAAGGAAGCCAAAGTTACAATGGCACTTTTTCAGTCAGTAAATTACTTAGAAGCATGTTTGTTGCCTGCAACCTCAAACTTCACACTAATGATCATTTCCTTTCCCATCTATTGCAATATAATAAAATATTATTTATCGTGCAAATCCTGCCTTATACTGTATTAAAATATCAGCCTGCAAATTAAAAATGTAATGAAAACTCTTCTCAGCAATTCAATATGCTGACATCCGGTGGGTCATTTTATATTTGTTGATTAGAAATTTTTCTTCTTAATTTTTTTGTGTAAACACATCAATATTTTTATCAATTCATCTCTTTTAAAAAAAGCTTTTGATTTAAAGTCAGATAAAAAAAAATATAAAAAAGTGTGCCCCTGTTTGCAAATAAAATATGAAGAACAGTCTAAATTTTTTGAAGAGTGTAAACTGAAATGAAACAATCTTGATTTGTATCTCATCCTTTACACACAACTATATACCAATAATCAGCTCTATATTTGCAGCTGCAACAAGAAAATTTGAAGTACTACACAATTTTCATATTTCTTACTGGATTCAAAGGTTATTTCATAAAAACAAATTTATGGAACAAAATTCAAATTTGATATTCAACTCATCTTAATGCATCAAGATACAAAATAAGCATAACTTCCATTAGTTTGACAACTAAAGAGAACAAACCAATATCTTCAAGAAATTTTCTAAATTCAAGTGTTTTCATCACATACTAAAGAAGGTGCAAACTAAATCTTCATTATTGGATGAACAACAGAATAAAAGCCATAGTTAACCATCAGTGTTGTTTTTTTGTTGTTGTTTTTTTTTTAATTTATAGTTTAAAGTCCTATCAAGAAAGATTCCAAATTAATGTCTGACTGTTCCTTAGACCATTTCATATCTTTGCAATATTAAAGCCACCTGCATCTGCATACTCCAAAAGCCTTTTCACATCTTATTACTTTTAACATTGTTATCAAAATGAAGACATAATAATGTAATGAACTTATAACCTTATAAATCGGAACTGTTGTACTAAACATACCTTAAAACTGCCACCTCATTTTTAAAAGCTTTTAATTGTTGAGGTGTTGGATCTGTAACATTCAATCTTTTGATAGCTACAAAACCATGGTAATGACCTCTATATACTGTTCCAAATGACCCTGAACCTATCTTGGAATACACCTGTATCTGATCACCAGCTATTTCCCAATCTTCATTAGAATCACGTCTCTGTCTCTATATAAAGTATAATATATGAACATAGTGGGTATCAAATTTTATGTCAATATAAAATATTGTAAAATTTTAATCTCTCTATTTGATGAAATAAACATAACAACAATGGTCATTCTAAAATATCGTACATACTTTTGTAAAATCATTTCATATTTGGTTTCTTGAAATATATGTTAAATATAACAAGCATTCTGATAGTATTGCATGGCAATACACAGTCCCCTACCGTTTAAAAATTCATTGTACTGGAACAAAATGCTAACTTGATCTATAACTTGTAATGGTGTAAACTCTATAACAAATATCAAGTCAATATCTTCAAGCATGACAAAAAAAAAAAAAGTAGAAAACTGATTATTTGGGTGAAGTCCAAGGACCATAACACTACACAAAATCATCAGACCGAAACAAAATTCGAACTCGATCGGTTACTTGTCATGATAAAACTATATACCAATTACAAAATCAATATCTTCACGCATGAAGAAAAAAAAGAACGAAAACTAATTACTTGAGTGATTTTTTTTTAAGTCCAAGGACCATAACTCTGCACGAAATCATCAGACCGGAACAAAATTAGAATTGATCTGTAACTTATCATGATAAAACTATATACCAAATATCAAACTAATATCTTCAAGCAAGAAGAAAAAAAGTGTGGAAAACTGATTTGCCGGACTGACGGATAGACAGACTGAGACAGACGGATGGAGTGAAAACCTAAAGTCCCCTTCGACTTCGTCGGTAGGGAACTAAAAATAAGCAGATGTGGCATGATTGCCAATGAGACAACTATTTACTAAATTCAAATGAAGTGAATTAAAACTGCACAATGTTATAGTTTTTTTTCTAAATTATTTTCCGTCCTTTTATTTTGTACACAAAACTACCATTATAGGCATTCCACAAGACCATGATTTCTGTGTACATGGTGTACATTTAAATAGATTTACTGTTAAAATCTATTTGGAAGTAAAGCACCAGATAAAAAGAATGCAAGAAACATGATTTCATTGTCAGAACATGTACTCAATTAATAAATAGATCCTCTCAAATAGCAATTCTTTTTATCATAATTTTCTTTAAAGACATATGTGGTATAATAATCTCAAAATATAACATGAACATACATCATTTCAAGCTTCAATTCCAGATTTTGAACATGCTGAATAAAGACTTGTCCATCCAATGTTATGGTGACATTTTCATAAGCTACTTTGTATGACCATTAATTCTGTTTGTTTCAAAGACTGATTGTTGAAAAAAAAATTTGTATGCCAAAAAATGATATTTTTCCAATCAAATGAGAGGGAGGTGGGATATGCCGTCTATAACCCCTCCCTGAATCCCCCATTGCTTAGTATTGTTTGATTGCTCTCATTGATGTTTAACTCATATCTCCTTACACATTTCTGTCAAATATGCAAAATTTAATGCTGATTGCATACATTTTTTTCAATTAACATGTCTGACAGACAGTTGATGCAAATTTATCATTTATATTGTTTTTCCATACAAAATTCTACTATTATTTATAAACATGTCTCTTGTTAGGTAAAGACAATTTCACAAATAATGCAATTAATTATCAATAGAAGCTTATATAATTCAAATTTGATATCCAAAGAAAACTTGAAATGTTTTTTCTTTTGATTTGAATGGAATAAAAAAAAAATAATATCAAGTGAATAACAAAATCTATCATAGCTTACAGAACGGATTTTGCCAGGGTCTGCCTCCTCAGAACTTGCTCTCTGTCGCTTTTCACCTGCTGTTGGTGAATGCTGAGAACTACCTGTTGGACTACTTCCTGGGCTGTGACCATGGTTTGAACTTGGTATTGGTAATGTATGAACTCCTGCATGACCTGAAATTAACAATTATATAAAATAAGCAATCATAATTTTATTTCCGCATTAACTATTTAATATACCATTCCCTTGAAGTCAACACTTCACTTTATTTGAACTTTGGTGGATAGTTGTCTCATTGACAATCATATCACATCTCCTTATTTTTGTATTGACTTACTGTGAACAGAAAAAATTCTTACAGGCAAGCCAGAGGTAAACAGGAATTATAGCTGTTCTTAAAATTTCTTAGTCATTTAATAGGGTGCATAAACAGCTTAAAGATGTACTATAAAAATGAAAATATGAAATACATGTAAGAAAACAGTTTCTTGAAATCCAGTAATCTTAAATGGAAATGTACCAGACACCAAATATGAGAGAAAGCTTTGATAATTTTGATGATGTAAAAAAGTCAGATTTCTGCTATGAACAATAATGTTTGATTTTTTAGTAGAAAAGAAAGAAATTGAAAATTGAATTGAATAAACTGTTAACACAGAGATATGTCTCGCCTTTTTGTTATTTTGATAATGCAAATGTTGCAATTAAAATAGCAATACTTTAACATGTAAGTTATGCAAATATCTAAAGTCAATGAACCATGACTGAAGGTACAGGGCTAAACAATCTCCATGGAAATCAGATGTGCCAATGCTAATACAACTGCATACTAAATACCATTGACTTTTCATACGTTGTTACCTTTAAACAAACCTTAACACAAACATTAACTTGTAAACTATGCAAAAGTTTCAAAGTCAATGAACCATGATGAGGGGGTGGGGTTATATAATCTCCGTGGAAAGATAACTGGAAAGTAGCTTCATGCATTTACCTACAAATTTTGCACAATATTAAAACAAAGTAAACTGTGTTCTAGTTTTAGAGAAGATTTTAAAAAAGTTCAATTTTATGAAAAGTTGCCGTTCAGAATGTCAATGAAAGATTGCCTTTGATTGCAAGGTTTTCCATCCAATCAAAACCATATGAGGGTTTTTTGTAGAAGACCTTCCATATTTTATTCCTACAAAAAATTACATGAGATAAGTGGGTTTCACAGAAGAAGATAAATATGTGAAAAATGTTAGCATGACGAGGGTAGACAAGGGCAATAACTCACATGGCCCTTAGAGCCAAGTGGATACACATTTATACAACATTATAGTGACAGAAATACATGTACAGAGATGTCATCTCTGACAATTTGTTAATATATATCTAGCAAAATCTAAACAATGTGCTATGGGATTTGCAAAATCACTAAACTTGCAAAAAAAACAACAGGTGAAACTGATCAATGATGATGAATGAAAGTTAAATTTAGTTTTATCTTAAAAATGACACTTTGAGTAATGCTCACATATGTAGAATTTCACAGAATCTCAGCTTACCAAACTGGAAGTTCATGCGATTCCCTTAGTTCAAACAATTCTGACGTCTCGAAAGGCTATTATATTTTTTTGCTTTGACTTCGCTGTAAGGCGTCAAAGCAAAAAAATATAATAGCCTTTCAAGACATCATAATTATTTGGACTAGCGATTCCCTCAGTTTTTGATTTTTTATTCTTGATTCATATATTCTGGATGGATTCAAGATATTTGAATATGGTAAACAACTTTTCCCTTTAATTTATTTAACATATCAAAAAATAAAAATTTAATAAATATCCTTTTAATAGAAAAAAAAATCTGATTTAGACAAAAGCACTCTGAAACTGTTATTTGAAGATGCTTAATTTTTTTATTGACAACATATTTGTTAAACTTGGCTGATGCATTATTCAACTGACAGTTGGCATTCCCATAGGAACCAGTTCTGCTCTTCTTCTTTACCAATAATGGTACTTCAGTGCCTTATGCAATGTGCATCTTCTATTTGACTTTTTGATCCCAATGACTAGGGTTGCACAATGCAAAACAAAGACTTGCAATATTTAATTGTACAGACTAGCAGGGGTATAGATAAGTGATTTTTAAGATTCTGTTTAAGCAATTATTTCAAGTCAGTATAAATTATTTAAGAACATATGAAAACAAAGATACTTTTCTATGAATGCCCTTCAGAATGATGCATGCTGGAATTTACAGTTAACAAGGGAAGTCACTCTGTTAATATGTCACACTCAATAATCAGTCTAGCTATGATTACCTGTCGGTTTGCCACCATCACTCTGATGACGTTTAGCTTTATATACATTATAGCCTGAAATATTTGTAATCATTACTTTCCAAACTACTTATTATTTTTTTTAAACAAATATTTATTCTTTAAAAACTAACAAAGGTTTACCAAAATGTTTGATGTTTTAAAATATATCCATAAAATAGAAATATTTACTCGTTATAAAATTATAAATTAATGTTAAATAACCTGAATGGGAATGAAGGAACTTCATATGACATAAATTAACACTTGTTTTAATTCTTTTGGTATGGTGTCATTTACAAAAAAAATAATCAACTGATTGATATTTTTTAAACAAAGTGATCTTGACGAGACATGTAATTTTGGTTCATAAATACATGTTTAGTTTAGTGTGATGTTCATTTTTTCACTTAACTAGTATACATTATTGTTTAGGGGCTAGCTGAAGACTGCCTCTGGGTGTGGGATTTTCTCGCTGTGTTGAAGACCCATTGGTGGCCTTGGGCTGTTTTCTGCTCTTTGGTCGGGTTGTTGTCTCTTTGACTCATTCCATGTTCCCATTCTCAATTTTATTATATATCATGCTCACACCAAATTATTTATCTTTTTGAAATACACTCATCAATCTGTTGTTGCCAGTCTGTACACCAATATAAATCAATAGCTTTTTTAATCAATGATTAATGGTTTGTTAAGTGCAGAGGGACAATATTAAATGTATATAAGCTCATGTGATAAGCAATACCTAGGCAGCATTTTTGTACAAGACCCATATACTGAGACAGATGCCAGTTTCAGAGAACTCTTTCAAACCAGTTTGCTTTTTTATTTTAAAAAGTATCATTTGTTTGTTTTTTATTTAACAAAGTTCAACTATTTTTTTAATCAGTTTTAATTTACACCACCCATTGATAAAATAGAATTTAATACTTTGAAAATAGGTCTTAATGAGGTTTCATGGAGAATTTGGCAGACACAACAATAAAAAATTGTTGTATGGGCACTTATGTAATTAGGGTATCAGATCCAGTTCATCCTTGGTTGAAGTTCCAAAAGAACATTAAACAAACCTATGATTGATAAGGATTTACTAAAAAACAAGATTTGTGGAAGTATTTGTTTGGTCTCTAAGTGAATCCTGATTTCAGTTAGGACACCAACATATGTTTCATTGAGGTACAACAGGTAATTAGCATAAATTTGGCCTTTGAAGATAGATGTAGCATGAGTGTTCAGAGACCTATTAAGGTTTTTTAATTCTGATTAGCATCAAAATTCTAACAGGTACACAGTAATTAGAGATACAAATATGAAAGAGGTATTTGCAAATATAAATTTACTCCATCAAATATACTCACCTCCATCTTTCATTGTGGCTTCTTGTAATACTTTACTATCCTGGAATCATATTAATCATAACATATAATTATCTAAACACAAATACACACTTCCCATTGCAAGAAAAAAATTGATCTTCAAACGGAATTTCAAGTGGGTTTTTTTTTCTGAATTTTTTTTCTAAAAGTGTGAAATCCTTTTCAATTAACTCATCATACATTTACATTTGGATTTTACATTATCATCTTTTTTTTTATGTTTAAAAAAAAACACAATACTAGGCTCTCCAGTGAGAAAAGCAATGAATGCTGCCTGCACAGGATTGAAAAGATCATATTTTTATTTTTTAAATTATTTTTTTATAACTAGTGAGATAATAATACACTTCATGATAATTTAAAATATCTATAACAAGGTAGAAATATAGCATTCATCTACTTTTATTAACATATTTAACATAATTTATTTCAATTCTATACTAATGAACATGATGTAATTCAATTTATTTCACTCTGAAGATGTATAAAATGAAATTGGCTATTGCCATATTCAAGTTTTTAAATACAATTTGAAAATGAGTAAACTACTATTAATTGTCAGCACTCAAGAACTGTGTCAACTTTCAAGTCAGTGTTAAACATAACTAGAGCCTCTAAAGAGCCTGTGTCGCTAATCCTGCATCTTCAGCAATGGTCACTTTTTGGTAAAAATCATCATCGAAGGGCAATAACTCTATAAAGAGTTAACTGACAATTTCAGTCATGTTGACGTTTTGTAAATCTTGTCCTGCTGATCATTTTTGCTTAATTTTTTAAAGTTTCTATCTACATTTGTATCTATTAAACTTTTCAAGATAATAGGCAAAAATCAAAAAAAATTGTAATAAAATGCTTCGCTGAGGACAGCCTGATATGACCGCAGTGGTCCAATATTCAAGCTTGATACTGTGTGAATTTTGATTGTGATCAAATTTTTGACATAATAAAGGTTTCTGACACAAAATAAATGTGGTCAAAGATCTTACAAATCTATTGCCCAACACTGGGCAATTGAAGATTTCTACTTTAAACTTTTCAAAAATTTGAAATTTGAAAATTTTTGAAAAAAATATGAATTCCTTAAAAAAATTAGAAAAAAAATCCCCCCCCCCCCCCCCTTTTTGGAAACCCCCCTTGGAGCAATTACCCCAAGACTCAATCCCATCCTTCCCTTTGTAGTATGGAACCTTGTAGTAAAATTTCAGAGAGATCCATACACTTAAACACAAGTTATTGTCTGGAAACTAGATAAATGCTTGTTATTTGCCCTTTTTTGGCCTCTAATTCCTACAAGTTTGGGGCAATTATCCCCAAACTCAATCCCAGCCTTCCCTTTGTGATATGGAACCTTGTGGTACAATGTCAGAGAGATCCATACACTTACACACAAGTTATTGTCCGGAAACTACAAAAATTGTTGTTTTTGGCCCCTTTTTGACCCTTAATTCCTAAACTGTTGGCCCCATAACCCTTGAAATGAATCCCAACCTTCTACTTGTTATATTAAACATAGTGGTACAATTTCAGAGCAATCAAAATACTTATACACAAGTTAATATCCTGAAACTAGAAAAATGCTTGTTTTTGGCCCCTTTTGGGCCGCTAATTCCTAAATGGTTGGGACCATCATCCCCAAAATCAATCCAAATCTTGCTTTTGTGGTATTGAACCTTCTTTAAAAATTTCATAGTGATCCATTCACTTAAACTAAAGATATTGTCTGGAAACCAATGTGTCTTCGGACGACGACGTAGACGACGCAGACGATGACGACATCTTATCATTATACGATCCCAAAAAATGTTTGCGGTCGTAATTCTATTTTAAACCATGTTGGCCATGTTTGTTTACACATTTTTAATCTATATACCCTTATGATGATTGTTGCCAAGTTTGGTTAAATTTTGTCCATTAGTTTCATCAGAGAAGATTTTGGTAAGCTATTATTCAAAAACGCAAAAAATGGTAAAATTGTCATAAAGGGCAATAACTCCAAGAAGGAGTCTTCTGACAATTTCTGCCGTGCTGACTTATTTGTAGATCTTGTCTGTCTGATAACTTTTCCTTATTCAAGTTTCTCTTCATCTATTATAGTTTTCAAAAAATTAGGTAAAAATTAATAAACTGTTTCGCCAAGCGCAGCTGGATACGACCCAAAGGTCCAACCCTGAACAGTTGGGGCAAAAATGGACACAATATTCAAGCTTGATACAGGTCTGAATTTGGATTGTAATTAAATATTTGACACATCATAGGTTTCTGACACAGAATAAATGTAGTCAAAGAACTTGAAATTGGTTATATGATTTGAATTTATATTCAATTGAAGATTTCTTGCTGTTGTGCAATACACTGTGCTGTTGCACAATACTTAGCAAATCTGTTTTCAGACTATAAACAAAGAATTAGCAAAATAAATTGTGACCCCCAATTTTCCTTTGGAAAATTGACAATTTCTTAAATCTTGAGGGAAAAAAATTGACCCCACCCAAAAAAAAATTGTTTTAAACCCCCCCCCCCCCCCCCCCCCCCCAAAAAAAAATAGTATTTGAAGAAATTTTCTTATTGTGAAATGTGGTATAGACATCCATACACTTAAACACAAGTTATTGTCTGAAAACTAGAAAAATTCGTAAGGGTTCCGCAGAACCCCATGTCTCGCCTACTTCTGCTGTTAATCACAGGCTCAACAAAAATGAGATGAGGAAAAAATTTAATAAAAATATTCCTCTCGATACAATCTTTTTATTGTCAGAAGCTTCTGTCCAATTTGGTAAAAATCCAGGATAGTTTATGAATCTAATAAATGTTTTAAAAAATTTAACTGCAGACTATCTAATGTTAACTGGAAGAAAAACTAAGTCCATTTATAAGTAAAATATGGATAAACAAGTACAAAATTTTAATAACAATTTCCTTCTAGATACTAGCTTTTGATCATAAACAAACTTCTGTCCATGTTTAGTACAAATCAAGGATAGTTTAAGATAGTTATTAAAATTTTATAAAAATTTAACCAGAGAGTGAATGTAATGTTTCCTGGAAGAAAAACTAAGTCCATTTATAAGTAAAATACGGAAAAACAGGAATTTTTTTTTTACAAAATTTACTTCTGGATACTATCTTATGATCATAAACAAACTTCTGTCCAAGTTTGGTAGAAATCCAGGATTGTTTAAGAAAGTTATTAAAATTTCAAAAACTTTAACCACAGAGTGAATATTTGTGGACGCCGCCGCCGACGATGCCGACAGAAAGTAGGATCACTATGCCTCGCTTTTTCGACAAAAGTCGAAGGCTCGACAAAAATGTTTGTTTTAGACCCTTTTTGGCCCCTAATTCCGAAACGGTTTGGGCAATTACCCCCAAAATGAATGATAACCTTCTACTTGCTTATTGAACCTTGTTGTACAATTTCAGAGCAATCAAAATACTTTCCCACAAGTTATTGTCTTGAAACTAGAAAAATGCTTGTTTTTGACCCCTTTTTGGCCCCTAATTCCTAAACGGTTGGGACCATTACCCCCAAAAACAATCCCAAACTTCCTTTTGTGGTATTGAACCTTTTTGTTAAATGTCATAGAGATCTTAAATTAAAGTTATTGTCCGGAAACCAAATGTCTTTCGACGATGATGTGATAGCAATATACGACTGCAAAAATTTTAAAAAATTAAAAATCGGTAAAATTTGACATTTAAGGGCAATAACTCCAATAAGAAGTCGCCCGACAGTAGGTAGATCTTAACATTCTGAACAATTTTGCTCTCTGCAAGATTTTCTCTATTCATAGTGGCTTTCAAGATAATAGACAAAACTTGCATTTTACCCCTATGTTCTATTTTTAACCAATGTCGGCCATGTTGGTTGGCAGGCAAGGTCATCAGACTCATTGTTTAAACTAGATACCCTAATCATGATTGTCACAAAGATTGGTTAGATTTTTGTAGTTTCAGAGAAGATTTTTTGAAAAAGTTAACGACGGACAATAACAGACGCCAAGTGATGAGAAAAGCTCACTTGGCCTTTGGCCAGATGAGCTAAAAATAAGAAGATGAGGCATGATTGCCAATAAGACAACTTACCACCAGAGACCATGTTACGTTATTTAAGCATTGAGATAAGATTTTGTTATTTTGCATTATAGTCATATGAGCTGTTTCAATAGAAATTAGAAAATATTTTATTCCAGAATTAGGAGTTAAAAGCATGCACCTATTTTCATGCATTATATTCTAAAAGTTATCCTTTTGCATTCATTTTTGTTTATCAAATATATCTTTTTAGCTGAACTATTTTGATTAAACCTCGGGAAGTTTCCTTACAAAATTTCTTTCTGGTGAGAAATATAATTGATAAACAAAACAATATTAACAATTTAACATAGAATTTCAAATCTTTAACCCACAGTATATTTTGAAAGACTTATGTTTTTGCTGAAGACCATTTTGTACCAGAGTTTCACAAAAAAAATCATAAGATTAAACAAACACTTCCAATTTCCATTTTATCAAGAGATGGTTAGTGGTGTTGTAAATTTTACCCTTTTTTTATATAAGAACCATATTAATCAGGACAAAGATTAAAATTTGTTGAGCTTTTTCTTTATAAATAGCAAAATAGAAGATTATATGTAAAAATTATTCTCAGAGATGAACCATTTATTCACTATTTATCGTTTCATTTTTATTAACAATTTGATCAAAATTAGTAAATTTAGCAGTAATTCAATTTCTAAATTTGTATACGTTTTAAATTTCTTTTTAAATGATACTGCTAAGTTGAGATAATATTTTGACATGACGTTAGAAGTAATAATTCCTGTACATGTAAACCTTCCCACTATAACCTGCTAAAAAGAAATCTCTAAAAACCCTAACCTAATTCCTTTGTCATAAAATCGAAAATAACAACTAACTGATATATAAAATATGCATTGTCTGAAGTTAACAAAAAGTTATTAAAATTTCATTTTATATAAACATAGAAATTAGTCATATCTGTTTTGCCGAAAAAATAATATAAGTAATAACTGCCATGTTACAGCTTGTTTGTGAGAGTGGATACCCTTTTGTAAGTTTTTCTAAAACCTGCCTGATTATCATTTCAATAAAATAAAAAATTCAAAGTTACTGAGTAGGCTGAAGGGAATCGAACCTCACACTCTGCTTGAAACTGACTACAGGAATTCTTAGTAAATAACAAGAATGTGTCCATAGTACATGGATGCCCCACTCGCACTATCATTTTCTATGTTCAGTGGACCGTGAAATTGGGGTCAAAACACTAATTTGGCATTAAAATTAGAAAGATCATATCATATGGAACATGTGTACCAAGTTTCAAGTTGATTGGACTTCAACTTCATCAAAATCTACCTTGACCAAACACTTTAACCTGAAGTGGGACAGACGGACGAATGGACAAACCGAAAACAATAATGCCCCTAAGTGGGGCATAAAAACAGCATATCAACTATTCATAGCCTAGTAAAAGTATATCTTATTAACTACTTAGCTGTCGTGCTAAGCATACCCCAATTCCTAATTCAACATATCAACAATAGATCAAAGACTCAAACAGCCAGGTTGAGCAGAATAATATTTATATATTTGAAATAGAATAAGTCCCCAAGTCTGGATAAATAAGAAAAAATTTGTTAAACAATTGCATAATAGCAGGTGCAAAACTTCAAAATATGTGCAATCTCTTTGTGAAGTTTTGGGGATCTGGGTGGAAAACTGTAGGAGTTGATATCACAAATTACCTACTTTTGCTCACCATTCATCAATGTTAAGGTGCTGACCAAATATAAAGTCATTCTATTTAGTAGTTTCTAAGAAAAGTGAAAATATTTGTCGGACAAACGGACATACTAACAGGGTGATTGCAATATACCCCCCCTTCCATTCCTAGAGTGGGGGTATAATTACTACAGAAGACTGAAGGTATCAAACTGGTATTTGATCAGAAAATTAAAATTCAAGAAAACTCTATACTTAAGTGAAATTAAATGACTTTTTAAAATTTGCACAAAATGCTAAGAATATACAATGTAAAAAGAAAAGACAGCAAGAAGTTCATGACAATCAAATCTTGAACTCCAAAAAGAACAACATATTTCCGATATAAATCATGAACTAGAAGACAGAACCATCCACACAACAGCTGTTAATAGAAAATAGAGGTCTAATAATTGCTTTAAATTAGTGGGATTTCTACTTTATAAGCATACAAATTTATAAAACTTGTGATGGCGGTAAATTTATTTCACAGTTTCCAGTAGATTGTAGATTTTGAGAAAACTCTGGACAGCTTCCTTCAAATGTTTCATAAGATAGAAATTCCTGGCAAGTATCTTACATGTACTACAGAACCACACAGCTGCATCCCCTATTTTTTTGTTCGAAACAATATGATATATACAATATACAACTAATACTGATACATCTAAAGCAAATGGGAATAACTCAGAAAAATGCATGTAGCGAATAAAAATAAAATTGACAATAAAATTACCAATATCCTATGATAATTGTCGTAAGTTATGGGACGATGGTCATTGGAAGGTTATGCCGACATTTATATCATGCTAGGAGGGTCTATATAAGGGAGACACTAATTGCAAGCAATATCAAATATTATATGCACTATCTGCACTTATTATCCAAAAATAAAAATAAATATATGGCTACACTGTTCTAACATATATATAAAAAAAAATACTAAACAAAAGATCGACACATAAAATTATTTAAAAAAATTTGATAAAATTCAATAAAAATCTATTAAAAAATAAATATCAGATTTTCTGTAAAAAAAACATTAAATATTGTGGAACTTTTCTCGGAAGCTGCTAGAATTTATAAGGCCAAAAAATATTGTTTTAAATTAGACACATATAAATTCATTAAAACATTTTCCATCCCATTAAAATAATGTCCTGTAACTATGTCTTAAGTGTCAAAAGAAGGCATTTGTGTGTTTCATATGTGATACCTTAATTAATTAATTAAAATAAATATTTATCTAATTACTGGGGTTTATTTTTATTTCCTAGAAGTTTGACATATGTACATGTATCAAATAGTTGCTTTTCATGTTATTTGCATCCCTAATTTTCAGGATAGAAAAATAATATCTATTCCTGCAAAATGATGTCAAAGATCAACCATGATTCTACAAATTTTACAGGAATTATATTGTTTTGCCATTCAGAAGTTCAGAAAATCAAATGATATGAATGGCTTTATTCTTTCGTTCCTGTTCAGATTTTTTCTAAATGCGAGATCAGGACGTTGTGGTAACCAATGACAATAACAATAATAACAAACCAAAGTTCTTCTTAAACTTAAAAATGGCAAATATATATATATATCTGTCTGAAATGAAATCTAAAAGAATGTGTGTTTTCTTTAGCCCAAAAAACTGCTGGTGCTATCCCTAAACCTTTTCAGGTAAGCACAATGTAAGTCAAAATAACTAACTTCAATTACAGTATAGCTTTATTACATTGAAACCTAACATGAAAAATAAGTCTTTTAACAAGTGTTATCATAATAGCAAGGATTTATATGCATTATATTTTTTTCAATAAAATTTAATTAAAAATTTTTAACTTCTACAAAAAAATGATTTTACAACTGTTAAAACATGCTGAAAGAAACCCAAGTCTTACTCTTTTTTTATGGGAATAGGATTTGTACTTTCTGTTCCTCTTTAATAATCAAGGTTCATATTACAAATTAATTGCATTATTTTCAACAGCTTTAAATATAAAGTTAGAACACTTTTTTTTTCTCTCTCTTAATGTAGTCAGAAATAGTAGTATTTTGTATTCCAGAGAAACATTCAAGTTTAAGATGTTGAAATTGAATCCCTACTATTATAAATTATTACCATTACTACTTCTAATTTAGTGTGAGTTCATTGATAGTCAATGCCTTCTTAAGACTGAGACAAGTACAGGAATCCCATCTTGATGTAACCTACCTCATCACTTTGGACTAGAGAAAAAACATTTGGTACAGATTCAGATCGAGATACATGTCGTAACGGGGTAACCAATGGCTTATGTGTCGGTTGAGACGGCGGCAATCTACGACAAATCAAAAATAAAACATTAGTTTCTAATAACTAAACAAGGCACTGCAAGAAAACAAGCAATATGTCAGACAGCAATTTCTGTGCATTTGCAAGAAGTCTTAGGCTGAATAAATACAGCTTGGTCATTTGACCTTAATTTGGAAATTTCAAAATTTCATTAAAATAATTTTTCTCTCAAATAAATGCTGCTACAGATTTATTCAGCCTAACCAAAAGCTTTGATAGCCTAGTTTTTTCGATTAGTAAATTAGAGTACATACATATCATGAATGCTTGAAAACATTCAGTTAAGCAGTACAGTGCATTGATTGAAATACCAGTAAAAATTGCTGTCTGAATTAGGTACTAAAAAATAAATGAAGGGACACCACAAGATTACAGCAAATATCGATGGGGACAACCTTACCTCATGAGAGATCTCACCCGGATTTATTAGGCACACATTAGGGGCTGAGGAGGATCGATCCCTCTGCCCCAGGGCAGGTTTGCTGCGCTGAGGTGTATGTGGTGAGACAGGAATTGACTGATTTCGGCTGTTAAAGGGAAAAGATGATGTGAATGTATCCACTGGAAGTTTACTGAAATTCAAACATTTTATTTGCTAATGAACAACACTGATAACTTTAGAAATACATGTATAAGCTTTTTTTTCTTATAATTTCAGTGTTTTTACATTTTTGTATAGTTTTATCTCCTATGGTTACATATCAATATATCAATTCTTCTATCTCTAAGAATTGTGATCGGGAAATTATCAATCATTGCTTGTGGAATTTTGCATGTACCAAAAGAAAAAAATTACATTTTTGGTTTAAAAAGCACAGAAAACTGTTTTTAATCAAATATGAAAAAAAGCATCTTTTTAAAATGCATTGGTACACAAGTGAATTTTCTTAACTTTACAGTTGACATAAGTGTAAGGTTTGTTGTTTGTGATTCACTCTAATTAAAACATGTTGGAATTGATTTTTGACATATCAATTGATACACGAGAAAAGCTTCTTCTAAAGGAGTAACTATTTTGAAAACAATAACACAGAATGTCTTTAATAAACCTGATGTCCTGAAAAGTATTCAAGTTTTTCCAAATGACATACTTATGCCTTGCCCATTCTTTCATACTGTCCCAAGAACAGACTGGGTTCACTTTGTCTATACATCGCTGATGGAATCTTATACCACATGTCTGGCAGCGTAGACTCTGGAATAAGGATCGGCCACACCCATCACAGAATGTTAAAAGCAAAAATGTTTTACGAACCTGAAATATTTAATCATGATTAGAATTAAATATACATATTTCTTGAGGTCTTCAGTAAAAATTTGCATTCATTTCACAAACTTGTCAGTATCAATCACTAATAGAGGACAATGTCAGGTTATTTTAACAGCCTTGGAGTTGGATGTTAAAATGAATAATCAAATGAGGTCTACGAAAAAAATGGGAAATACAGATGCCACAAATAATGAAAAAGTTAATATACAGCTGCACCAAGAGCACCCTTATTGTGCATATTGAAATTGTTGCAAGAATAAAATGGGATATTATGAAGGCATTTAATCATAAGCAAATAAAATGGCTCTGCATAAAAAAATGCATGAGAATACTGTTTTTTAAATCAAACAGTTTGTTATGTTCACCAATTCCAACAATTTTGTAAAGTTTCCACTCAATCAATTCAAGTAAACTCAAGTTATGGTACAACGTATGAATATTTACTAAAATCTGACAATTGAAGTCCCATAACTCTGGAAGAACCAACCATAAAAAAGGTGGGGGGAGCTTCCTTTCATCAATCCCTACAATAATGTAAAGTTTGGAGGAAATCAATTCAGGAATACAGGGACCTTATTCACAAAGCATCCGCAAAGTTACCATATATGTAAATGTTGCAGAATTGAAAAATTTCGTATTCACAAAAGCAGCGGATATTTCATATCAGTAAACGTCATTTCCAGTTCCAAAGAACTAAGTATGTTTAAGGTACAGCCCCATTCAGATCTGGAGTGACTGAAATCTCTGAATTAATTGTTCCAAATTGTTTCTTGAAGGTCAAGGTCTAGGATATATCTACTTACTATATTATGTGTAAACATTGGTAAAGTTGTTCCTGACACTGAAGGTCTATGAGATTTCGACTGAACTTTCAATTCTTTGTTAGCTAAACTTCCAATATCTATATCCCAGGAAATGGGCATTCTGCAAAAAAAATTAACACCATTACAAGTTTACAACTACATGTGGGTGAACAACAGTAAAAACATTCTTTTGTAAATGAAATGCATATTTTTTTTCCTTTCACATATTAAATAATAGTGACACAACTGTTCACTTTTGAAGCTAGGCAGCATGCAACTAATCATTACCAACATAAAAGGTTTCTTGTCAAATCTATAAGGATTTACGATGTGAATAAAAATGTGTTTTCAGTCCTCATACAAGTGTTTTCTTAAGGGCATACGATACAGTTTTGATCCCATAATGAAATTTTAATGAAAATTTGCATATAAGCTATTTTTTACCTGCTTTAATCAAATATGTAATAAAAAATATACCTTCATGTGCTACTTTTTGAGTAAACTGAGGTCGAAATTTCAGGTATTTGCTCAAAATTCGGATTTGTATTTTTCCTTTCGACAGAAATTCATAACTTTTTTGTTTTAAAAGATATACACAAGCTGTTTTTTGTAAAATTATTTGTAAATTCTGTTTTATATAAATGTTCTATAAATTTGTACATTTTATTTTTACAAATAACTCATATTTATCAAATGTTCATGAATGTAGAAAAAAAACGTCATTTTTTGCTGTATATTTATCAAATTTAAAGAAATTGCATTATTGACTTTTTCATGAAAATTGGTACACATAATCTTAATAGAATATCAAACCAAATGTCATTTTAAAAAAGAGGGGTCCATGAACTCATTTTTAAGATAAATCAGTTTGAATGATAACAAACAGTCGAAAACTGCATCTTTTCCCGATAAGTCGCAGTTTGCCCTTCAGTCTATTCTGAAGAGTTACACATTCACATCTAAATACAAGTATTCTGTGAGTATTGCTTGGCAATACATAGTCCCCTACCGGTTAAAAATTCATTGTACTGGAACAAAATGCTAACTTGATCTATAACTTGTCATGGTGTAAACTATATAGCAAATATCAAGTCAATATCTTCAAGCATGACGAAAAAAAATGTGGAAAATTGATTATTTGAGCGAATTTTCTAAGTCCAAGGAACATAACTCTGCACAAAATCATCAGACCGGAACAAAATTCGAATTTGAACTGTAACTTGTCATGATAAAACTATATACTAATCATCAAATCAATATCTTGGAGCATGACAAAAAAAGTGCGGAAACCTGATTATTTGAGTGAATTTTCTAAGTTCAAGGACCATAACTCTGCACAAAATCGTCAGACCGGAACAAAATTCAAACTTGATCTGTAACTTGTCATGATAAAACAATAAATCAAATATCAAATTAATATCTTCAAGCATGATGAAAAAAAGTGTGGAAAACTGATTTGCCGGACTGACGGATAAACAGAAAGACAGACGGATGGAGTGCAAACCTAAAGTCCCCTTCGACTTTGTCGGTAGGGGACTAATTAAGACCAGCTTGATGAATTGCAATATATATGAAGCTACAAAATACCAGAAGTTATGTGGACTATATATTTCATATATTTGCTTCTGATATTTGTATTGAGAACCAATACTCTTTTGTATTTTTTTTTTTTTTATTTTTGGCAAAAATTGTCTAATATGAAGCCCTTAACTGACTCTCTTAATACTGTCTGGTGCATGCATAACTAACTTCTGGAATAAGTACAGATATGTCTAAAACCCACAAACAATGTAACTTTATGAATAAGATTGCACCAAAATCAAAACAAGATCTCTAAACAAAAATGCACCACAAAAAAATGAAATAAAATTAGAATCATTAACAATTTAAGGGCATAAGATACAGTTACAGGAGAGGTATTGTCGTCGCTCAAGTAAAATGTTATTTTTCGTGACGTCAATCAGTGTCATATTAGGGGAAAGATGCATTTTTGACTGATTTTAATCAGTAGCTTGAAATTGACCAAATGGACCCCTCTTTTATAAACTGGCATTTTGCTTGATTATACATGTATAAAGATTATTTATACCAATTCTTATGAAATAAATGTGGAAAGTGTCCATGGGACACAGATGATGCCTCCGCTTGCATATCATATAAAGTTATAAATGGACATAAATGAAGGTAAAAGTGACGCTACCCAAATTTGAACTTGATCTGAGTTTTGTGGTAATAAGTATTGTGTATAAGTTTCATAAAATTTGGTTGAGGCTAACTTAAGTTAGAGAACAGAAATGAAAAATTCAGCAATTTTTCCATTTGTAAAGGGGCATAACTCTAGAAATGTTAAAGTGACACCACCATAATTCAAACTTGATCTGTATTTTGTGGTAATAAGCATTATGTATAAGTTTCATAGCATTTGGTTGAGGCAAACTAAAGTTAGAGAATAGAAACGAAAAATTCAGCAATTTTTCCCTTTGTAAAGGGGCATAACTCTAGAACGGTTAAAATGACATCAACAAATTTCAAACTTGATCTGTATTTTGTGGTAATAAGCATTGTGTATAAGTTTCATAACATTTGGTTGAGGCAAACTAAAGTTAAGAGAACGGAAACCAACTTAGGGACGTATGGACTTATAGAAGGACAAGGGTAAAACTTAATGCGCCCTATGCTACGGCGGGGGCATAAAAATCACCAATGATTTTTTTTTTAATTAGATATATATACAGCACAAAAAAGTTATTTTTTTTTAAACAATTGCTGTAGCATAATTATTTAAAGAGGATATTTGAAATGTTTTAACAAAAATCTGCTCATGGTTATCTTTTGAAACAAAAAAAGGTATGTTGGTCCAAAGGAACCGAAATTTGAGTAAATGACTAAAATTTCTACCCGATGATATCTAAAAGTGGCACACAAAGGTATATTTTTTATTACATATTTAAATCGACAAGGTGAAAAATAGCTTGTATAGTTAGTTTTCATAAAGAAGAATAACTTTGGGATCAATACTGTAATGCACGCCCTTGTGCTCAGTACAAATGGAATAAAGTAACCTCTTTTTCATCATTAGTATTAGGTAATACTTTTCATCATTAGTATTAGTTAATACTTTATCTATTGACAATGTGATTTTTAAAATAAACATAAAATCATATTCAAGCAATCATGATATTTTCAAAAATTGTCTTCCAGTATTTAGAAAATCAAAAGCTAACTAGACTGGCTATCAAATCAAAATTAGTTCGTTCCATTGTTTATATTACAAAATGTGTATGTAGAACGTCACAAAAACCCCAAATAAATGAGGAGCAGGTGCTGAGAATTAATTTAATCAGAATGACAAGAATGAAACACTTTAAAAATAGTAGACTTGCATGAAAAATGTAAGCACTTTTATCTCATTAACTGCTTAATATAACAAGAGGCTCTCAAGAGCCTGAATCGCTCACCTGTTATTTTTTTTGCTTAAATCTTTCATCAATGATTATTTTTGCTTTTTACCCATATGTTCCATTTTAGCCATAGTGTCTATGTTTCTTGACGTACAAGGAAATGAAACACAAAATTTATACTAGATTCATTTGAGAAGATTTTTAAAGTTAAAAAACATAAAACAACTTGTGTAAAATTGTCCTTAAAGGGCAATAACTCCTTAAGGGGTCAATTGACAATTTTGGTCATATAAACTTTTTTGTAGATCTTACTTTGCTGAACATTTTTGCTGTTTACAGTTTATCTTTATCTTCAATAATATTCAAGATAATAACCAAAAACGGGCTGATAGATCTTGACCTTTTGAACATTTTTACCCCATGTCAGATTTGCTCTAAATGCTTTAGTTTTTGAGATATAAGCAAAAAACTGCATTTGACCCCTATGTTCTATTTTTAGCCATGGCGGCCATGTTTGTCGATGGATCAAAACTTCGGATACAATTTATAAACAAGATACCCTAAGGAACATTTAATTAAAGTTTGAAGGTATTTGGCCCAGTAGTTTCAGAGGAGAAGATTTTTGAAATAGTTTATGACGACAGACGACGATAGACGCCAAGTGATTGCATAAGCTCACATGGGGCCCTTTAAAAAGTTGATATACTTACCTTGTTCTAACATCATAGACCTCACAACTTTCTGCTTCAATTTCTCGTCGACTCATTGCCTTTTTCAAAGCATCTTTTAATGTTTTACCTGCTTCTATTCTCACCTTTAAAATACAAACAATACTGATTAAAATACAATTTTTATGGTATAAAAATTTAAAAAATTTAATTTTCTGTGTTTACAAAATGAGTAAACTGATATCCCACTTCATACGAGTTCAGAAATATAATTAACAAGTTTGAATAAGAATATTTTTTTAGGACCTTGATGTTCTTGCCATCTTCCCTAGCCAAGGGTTATGATCTAGTCCCCTCCTCTCCACCCTTGGCAGATTGAGATAGAATTTTGGATCCATGAGTAAATTATTTCTATTGGTTGCAGCTGTACCTGGCTGCATCCAATTAAAAAGCGCCTTTAAGATGATCACATGTTTTGTAGAAAATGTAAATAAACTATTGTCATATGCTGATCGTGCAACAAGTCTTTACCCCAAAAAACATAGGACAATATTTAGTAACAAATTAAAAATTCTTAATCAACTAATTGAAGTTCCTGTGTATGTTTCTCGTGCAAATGTTGGAATGTCAACGTATATTTTCGGTTCCTGCTTCACGAAATTGTAAACATGACTAGATACAATCATTTTAAACCTTCACATTGAAGAGACTTCAAGTGCTGTCATTGGTCAAGAATAATCTAGTAGGAATGTGCAAGACTTTCATCTACCGGCAGATGGCGTAGCATTGTTATCACAAATGATGGCTTAATCTGCCAAGGGTGGAGAGGAGGGGACTGAATCGTAACCCTTGGCTATCGAAGATGGGTTCTTGCATTCACCCAAATTTAACTTACTGACTTACTGCCAAAATTTAAGACCATGTTATATTCCACTCATGCAAGAAATCCGTTATCCTTCATTAGCTGCACCCACTCATAATTTAATTTATGAAATATATCTCTTTCCTTGATATAGTTATATGTAAGAGAACATTACTTTTTTTTTTAACTATCACTTAGCAATTTTACCATATTTGTATGTCTTTTCTTTAAGACTTCAAACAAAATTGCAGCCAATTTAAAAACAAATTATATAGAAATTTAAAAAGATAAATTATCATCAATCTACATGTAGGTCTTAACCATGTAAACTGTCAATGACTGTTGAAAATTTCAATACTTTTTCTATGTACTGTATTCATATCTTTTTTTTGGCAAACATATTTTGTGTACATTTGTAGTTTTAACAAAACTGTATTCATGGTATTTGAACCTACCGAAGACACCTGGTCATTTGGAAAGTTCACTCGAAGTATAGGTCTTGATGGTGTTGGACTAGGTTGGGGTACAATTGGAAGGGTTGGACCTGGGGCTTGGGGAGGTGGTTCTGTCTCTTCAGGGGGTGAAGGTTCACAGCTATGTTGTTCATAGTCTGTCAGTAACTGGGACTCTTTCTCCTGAAGTTCATGGATTTTGTTGGCTAAAGCTTCATATTCCTAAAAATATACAAACAAAACAAAAATGCTACAAACATGACACATTATTAATCATATCAAAATACATACACTTCATCTAGTTAACAAACAAACACTAAATAAAGAGCCAAATTCCTCAATAATCAATGAAAATTCAATCAGTTCATAACACAGATTTAAAATCCGGTTTTCATAAAGGTTTGTTTTTAAGTTTAATGGTCACTATCATAATTTGGTTGACTGATTCGCTATGTCTCGCAACTCACAAGAGACATGCTTTAGTCTTGGATACATGATTTTTTTATTAGTTGTTTTTAGCTTTGAACTAGCTTTCAGTAACTCACTGTTTGTAATATATATAGTATCAACATTTTTTATCAGAATAAGGATCAACTGAAGATAGTATATTGATTCTTTTGTGTGTATTTCTTTAACATGAAAATCAAGATATCCTATTATTGCATAATATGTCTGACACTGTGTTATTTTAACCAATATCATTACCTGTAAATACATAGGATCTGGTTGTTGTTTACTTCCAAACTTAGCATTTAAAGCTTCTAAATTTTCTTTTGTTAATCTTAACAAGTTCTGTATATTTCTTATCTGAAATGACAAAGTTGTGCCATGTTTCTACATTATCACAGTAGATTTGGTTGAAAATTTCTTTCATAAACAATATATATATACAAGTTTACAAATGTACCAACTAAAAGACATTATACTAGCTGCAAATACAAAATAATATTTTAAAAGATGATTTCCAGAAAATTGCAGTGTACAGCGACGTTTTAAACATACCAAGGATCCTTATTCAGGAGGAGCGGACAGTGAGACTATACATCCATATGAGGATTTCTGCTAAAATTACTATAAGTCATTTCAAAGGTTCTTTGAACACTGCCAAAAGTCTGGTTAAAATTATGTTTAATCAGTAGTTTCCTATGAACAAAATCAACGAATGAAGAAGTCTGACCAATGGTCTGGCTAAATTTGATTCAGCCTCCAAAAATATGAGTGTTGTTATTGGTTTCTCAATCCTCTCTTTACATTTTTTAATGGATTTCTTCAAAACATTTTCACCAACATAAATACATGTATCAGTTGATGTAACCGCTAACTTAGTTTTATCAAAATACACAACAAATTGATCAAACCATGTTATTAGTCATCAATGATTGTTCAGTGATCAATTGAAAAATTTTACAATGTACTATTCCATGGACTCTTTAAAATCAGCTTGGGACTCGCCCATTTCAAAAAGTGTTGAGTCCTAGGACTCATCCTATAAATTTCCAAGTGAGAACCCTGATGTGAAATGTAGAATGGTTTTAAATAAAAACATTAAATACTGTTTGTGGAATGCAGCACCATAAACATGTAAAAATCCACATGATTTTCATGAACTGAAATGGCAAATTCATGAAATTCCACAGAAATCTACCATCATCATGATCATGTATTTTTATAAATTAAAAACATGTAGACACTAAAACGTAAAATACGAAATCATTGAGTATCAAATTAAACGAGAGAGACAAATATATTTCTACTGAGCAACTTAATTTTAAGACATGATAATTTCCTGCCTTTTTATTAAACACAAACCAATCCGTAGATGAATCCGGATTCATTCTAAATGTATTATTCTCTTGTCACTTCCTGTTTTCATTTCGTTTAAAAATCGAAAGTAAACGTGATCTACTCTTGATAAATTTAAAATAGACAGTCATTTAAATCGTTCAAAATTTATAAAAATAAATTCCAAATATCGATTTCAACATTTTTACAAGGATAGTGATAATGCTGTGAAATATTCGTAACAATTTCATTTATGCTGTGATTCCTAGTTTTAAACTTTTTGTGATCAGGATGCCCTCTGAAAATAACTGAAATTGTGAACTAAATATGCGGATCCTCGTTCTTATCTTTTATCTAAGCATCACACCAGTCAAATCATGCCACGACTGCCTACATTTGTAGCATGCTTAAGATTTGGTACCATTAAAACGTTTAAACCTGCTGCAATTGTTTGCACCTGTCCTAAGTTAGGAATCTGATGTTCAGTAGTTGTCGTTTGATGATGTGGTTCATAAGTGTTTCTCGTTTTTATTTAGATTAGACCATTGGTTTTCCCGTTTGAATGGTTTTACACTAGTTATTTTTTGGTGCCCTTTATAGCTTGCTGTTCGGTGTGAGCCAAGGCTCCGTGTTGAAGGCCGTACTTTGACCTATAATGGTTTAATTTTATAAATTGTGACTTGGATGGAGAGTTGTCTCATTGGTACTCATACCTCATCTTCTTATATTTAATTAAGGCCTTCAAAGATCCTAGTCATTGAAGGTTTTGGGCATATGTATAGCTAGTAATATATGTCCTTGGTCCCTTACTGTTACCCAAAATAAGGCTGATTTTTATCTCAGGTAAAAGTGACTAAACCCCCTCAAAACACCTAGCTGAAACCCCTGCTGTTTATATAAGACAATGTTTGACATGCCTTTTTGAATTATCAATCAGCGTGCTAAAGTGCCCTTTTCGTGATTGGTTCCCTGCCCTTTTGAAATCCTAGCTGGAACACTGATAAATCATTATACAAGTAAAGGGACACACTTAAATTCATGCCTTTCATTTAGTAAAGTAAAGTTAGTAAATAAAAGCAATTGGTTGACTTCTGATTTTCTTCTTCTTCGTAATTTGAAGCCTTAATAAAGGTGCATTAGCTGTCAAAGTCATGATCACCAATCTGATTTAAATTTTCATAATTGATTTATATAACATACTAAAAATATATCCAAATTACAAAAAGTTTAAAAGAAACAATATTAAAATACATTAACACGTTATAATGTAACAGCATTAATTTTGTGCCTATTTTAGATTAAACATCATCTAATTAACCATTGAGTTGACCTGCCAAGACTGCCGATGGTCTTATGAACTGATATAAAGATAAATATTAATAGACAAGATGAGCAAATTTATGTTAATCGTGTAATGACCATTTGTCTAGGTCTGTTTGATTTCATGTTATAGATTAAACAAATGTCAATCAACATTTTACGCGTATATGAATTATTTATGGAAAGAATCAGTCAAACAACAAAATCGTTTTTCCTGGTGGTTCCCATGTTTCACTTTTCTTTTAAATAACTGAACACAGTTAGCACATGCATAAACCATGGTCAAATTAAAGTTTTCACGAATATGGATTCAAATGAGGTTGAATTGTTGATTTGCAAGCCAATAATACATTTGTGATGTTTTAACCATATTTTGACAAAATTGAACCAAACTGATATCATCTTATTATACCGCTTTTATAAATGTTCTGTTCGAAACAAAAACAAAATCATATTCATATTTTTCATCTTAATTGTAGCTAATGCCCCTTTAGATGTTTCAAGCCTAACTGTCAATATCCTTTGCCAAAAAGTTTTCACATAATGAAATAAATTATCTTAAACTGAACTTAATAAATAGAATCCTGTCAGATGTTAATGCAGGTAAAAGTGATTAGCAATCATTAACCTGATATCCTCCCAGAATAGAGCTTGAATGGTTACAATACTGACTCTGACTGACAGTTTTATTACGAGAAAATCATGCTTGGTAATCTGGATTTAGTCACTGATGATCAAAAATGCAATTTCTGATCACACAAAAAGACCCTATACATTTGTTAATCACCAATAGTTTATCTGTTTAGACCTTTCGGTTTCTCCAGCTTTTACACATAGCAGATTTAGGCCAAATAAACTTACACATGTTTGTGTGCTTACTGTCACCTGCTGAAAAAAATAAGAGTCTTTAAGTTGGCAAAACTTAAAAAAGAAAAAAAAACATTTGATTGGCAAACACAGAATTGAATCCTGTATTGCATTTACATATATTTCAATAAAATTGAGAATGGAAAAGGGGAATGTGTTGAAGAGACAACAACCCGACAGAAGAGCAGAAAACAACCCAAGGCCACCAATGGGTCTTCAACGCAGCGAGAAAATCCTGCACCCAGTGGTGGGCTTCAGCTAGCCACTAAACAATAATGTATACTAGTTCAGCAAAAAAGGGACGTCATACTAAACTTGAAACATATAAATGAACCAAAATTAAAAAATCATACAAGACATATAAGACTAACAAAGTTTTTGCTGACATTTGTCGAAATTGCTTTTGTCAGTCAGATATGTTTTTACTCTGTATTTCACAATACTTGTTGACAATTTTCAGCATTAGGGTAGGAATTGAACTAAAAGAACAATACAGATAAAAAAATATTCCAAATATTCAGTTGAACTGATTCTGTGACCTTGCCTCCATAGCCAGATCAAAATAAATAAAAGCTATGCAGGGTGCCACATCAAAAAAACTGCATTCATTTGTCAAAGGAAGTTGAACACATGCATGAACTGTGAATGAAAATCAAGTGTGGGCAGAAAGCAAATACTTAAATCTAATTGTAGAATGCAAGCAGACAATTTCATATGGAATTTGCAAAGAACATCTGGCTGGTCTAATAAACATGATGAATGTATATTTGGGGGCTTAACCTTATGATGCCCTTTATACAGTTTCTTAGGAACAACCTTTATAAGAACAATAAAAACAAGCATTCTGAGAGTATTGCATGGCAATACATACATGTAGTCCCCTACCGGGTAAAAATTCATTATACTGGAACAAAATGCTAACTTGTTCTATAACTTGTCATGGTGTAAACAAAAAGAAAATATCAAGTCAATATCTTCAAGCATGACTAAAAACAGTGTGGAAAACTGAATATATGAGTGAATTTTTTCAAGTCCAAGGACCATAACTCTGCACAAAATTATCAGACCGAAAAAAAAATTTGAACTTGATCTGTAACTTGTCATGATAAAACTATATACCAATTGTCAATCAATATCTTCAAGCATGATGAAAAAAAGTGTGGAAAACCTATAACACTCTAACATTAGATATGATTAATAGTTCTCTAAAACTAGATATGATGTAATACAATGTATATCTATTTTCAAATTACAATCAAATATACTTAATAGTTCCAAATATTTTTTCTTTCATTTGTCACAACCTAATATATATTTGTAACTTATCTATAAAATGTCAACAACTTTTATCTACACAATGTAATGTAATGAAATATATACCTTAATAAAAATAGATTATTATCTAATTAAAGGATTTCACTTAATAAAAATATATATATATATATATATATGTAGCATTCAGAAAATTAGTTTATACAAAATAACATATAAACCTGCCACTAAATTCCTCAAACAATTTACCAAAGAATGTCTTTCAAAAAATGAGTAATCTCTCTTTGTACAGATTATATGGTTTAACAAAGTACTCTAACATTAGTAATGGAGTTTTTTTATGGACCATAACTCTGGACTAAATCATCAGACCGGAACAAAATTCGAACTTGATCTATAACTTGTCATGATGAAACTATATACCAAATATCAAATCAATATCTTCAAGAACAAAGAAAAAAAGTGTGGAAAGCTGAGTTGCCGGACTGACGGATGGACAGACAGACGGACAGAGTGCAACCTAAAGTCCCCTTCGACTTCGTCGGTAGGGGACTTAAAAATAAGTACATCAAAATCAGATGTACAATATGATTCTGAAGCATGTAAAGGGAGGACAAATGGTAGGAGGGTCAATTTGGATTATACCACTGACGTAGTAAAAGACCTTTAACAACATGGCAGTAATGATATACAGATATAATTCCTGCAAATTTTGTATCTGAGGAGCATATGTTTTCCTGCAAATTTGTATATTTTATAAACAAAAAGTAAAATAATAAATAAAACAAACATTCAACAATAAACTTTGGGAGCTCATCACCTATCTTCATGATCTTATATAATTTATACTCTACACATTTACATTGAACGCTTGAAAACTGATTAGAATTGAGACAGTTGTTTTGGCATTAAACATTGTTAAAGAAAACTGTGGACACCAATTCACAAAATCAGAGTTAATCATGTGCACAACTACAATGTATGTAAGTAAAAAGTAATCATCAGTACGTTGATGGTTTTCTGTATCCGAAGAAGAAACTGTAGGTAAGCAGCGCCTGAATGTGATTTATATCCGACAACTACATTCGTACTGTCTACAGTGGAAAGTTTTGTATAATTTTTTTTCGCTCAAATATTTAGTGAATTTAAATGTCAGTCTTGGGATTATTAGAACTGCTCAACTTTGTTTAATTGAACAAATTTCTCTATTCAGCTACATACGACTATTTATGAGCTTGCTTCTTAAGCTATATGTTCTGTAGATCAGCATTGTATAGCTGAAAATGATCGGACATAGAACTTTATTTTCAATCTGGCTGAACCTTTGACAGTTATATGAGGTGTTATTATGTACAATCGTTATGATTTGACAGCCTTTTCTGTTAAAAAAATAGTGGCTAGGTTGACAGACATGACTGGAAAACAGCAAATTAAACCATATCTGCGTATGTATAACAGATTCTAGTTGCATGACTTGTGTATTTCAAGACTTGTGAATGTACCTCTGACCACATTTTCTACTTTCAACTACGTATCATGCACATTAGCAAATGAAAAATGTTTTCACTTGTCAACAAATATGAAACCAAATTATGGCTGATGTCGGGAGAAAATTACATAAATTCAACTTTTATGTTATGTATATTTCAATATTTGTGCAAACAATGGGTTTATTTGTTATTTCTACCTGGTCTAATAAATTAGCTATGTCATATGCGTCATGTCTAGGCGGTGTATTTGGTAAATCTTGGATATCCCCATTCGGCATTGTCACTGGTTGAACGACCGCCATTTTGCCTCTTTAAGAGGCTCTCACGTGACCTTTCTTACATTATCGTATATTCACGCGATAATTTGACGAGGAATTTCTAGACAGTACAAGTCAGTCGATATTTTTACGCATATGATTAGTCAGACAGTTGTGTAATATTTATCAATAGACCTTACTGTATCAAGCTTTGTCATCTATTTTTTGTCTGGTGTCTTTTTCATAACGCCTGCGCTGAAAAGGGCCAAGCTTTTTTTTGTCCGCCGCATAAATTTAAGAGGGGCTGGATAGGGTTTATACAGAATAGAGAATAATGGCATAATAAAAGCAAGGATTAAATCATTTGTATAGTCAGAGACATATATACACATATATATGTCTCTGGTATAATATAAAAATCCTTGATAAAATTAATGAATAAAGAAAAATGAGAAAAAAAGAATAGAGAAGAATGGGGTGCAAAAGTATAATATAAAGAACTTGATAACTGTGGAAAATGAAAGAATAAGGTAATACGTACAATACTGATTACAGAAATGAAGGATGTACAAGATAATTAAAGAAATCATCTTAATGCAGAAAATTTTAATTGTAAAATCCTTTTCCTGGGAATCTAACAGAATACCGTAATTTTTAAAGACTGAGAAGAAAAATGCCTTAAAAATCTAAAGAATACAGAAATAATGGACCCCCATTCATACCCTCATTTAAATAAATCCAGTAAATTTAAGCCTAACTTCACCCTTCAGTCTACATTATAAGCATTACTGTACCTATCTGGGACATTACTATTACCATGAAACCCTTTGAAAATACGCTTTACATAGAGCAACTTCGCTTTTTATGTTATTGAAGGTAATGAATAGTGTACACAGTATTTATAGTATTGCTTATGTTTTCCACTGAAGAGGGGAGGAAGAAGCTTTTTCTGGACGTCGGGATTGAGCCGTTTAATTCGCGGGAATTCGGAAATAGCCAGTTAAATCGTTGGAAATTCGGTATTCAATATAGATTATATCGTAATGCGGAAACGGACATTATTTTCACGGGAATTTCGGGATTTCCCTCTACCCCCACCCCCCTTTTCCCCCTAGCTCATATAATATTCGATGTATTAGTCAAAATCAGTGAAAATCGTGAACAAAAAAATTATGCATTCCATACTCTTCCAAGTACAGATATCGAATAATTTGAACCGAATGTAGACTTTTGTAGATCTTGTCATGGTATATAAATTATAATCGCTTTCAACTGTTAGATTTTCTCTATTTCATAGTTTTTGTCATATAAGAAAATAAAAAAAGAATGTTTCTGAGGACACGAATGCCCTTGCTCAAGCTTTGCAACGAAAATGGGACGGATGGAAAGACGGAAAGACGGAAGGACGTCGCCTACGGCGTGGGCATAATCAAAGTACTGAAGTACTGAACATCGGATGACCGCAGGTTCTTGTGGATGGTCAAAAGCACATGTCACAGAAATAGATCACATCTCTATACCTGAAACTGAGGTTAATTTACAGAGATATATTTTTTTCTGATACAAGTTCGTGCATGGATGATGAATAAATGACAGGAAATTCAACCACACCGTAATAACTATTATATTGTAGTGATACAAATCAGTATACCTGGGACTATTATACTAATATGATAATAGTGTCAGAGTATACACGTCTGGTTTGTTGTTATATATTATATTAATATTACGGTTGCATGTATATATAATTTTCATCTATTTATATATCATTCTATTCTACTATTCTAATTATAGTGCAGTGCAAGTGCATGGTGGACACTCTTCTGTAAAAAAATCGATTTTTCTAAAAGATTGGATATGAGAAGCCATTCATATTTTCCCGCAAAACAATAACAGAGTTATCGGTCCTTGCCGGGAGTGTCGCAAAACGTTCTTGAGATATTCTTCCGTAAGCTTTAACGCAATTTTTCATATTATTAATTTGTGTTTTAATAAAAATATTTATAGGAGTATCCATTGAAAAAATGAATTTGAAACAAGCGGTAAGTAATGTTATTTTGCACTAGATAAGTGACCGCGGATCTATAATTTTTATAGATCGGTTGAAAACCCAAAACTAATTTGCATAATGGATATTTAGGCGATAGCAATACATCGATATGACCTCACGGTCATCGCGATGTAAAAATGCAGTTTGACCCGCATGTTCTAATGTAAAAAAAAAATGTCTATACATTTTACTTTCAATTTCAGAATACAGAAGACAAAAGAGATTACAAAAACAATGTGTGGTGATATCACACATGTTACAGTACAAATCGAAATTCAATAGGACCCAGTGCAAACCAGAAATCCAATATCTACGAATAGACATTTGGAAATCAAGATTGTACTATAATATAGAAGGATTCTTGATTGCACTAAATTTCTGGTAAGATGCAGGATATTACTAAAAAGTATAGTTAGCATATGATTCTGGATAGGATTCTACCAGATTTATATTTTCAGTTATAATTTTTACTGATGCAATTGATAAGTATAGAAATGAAATAAATTATAACAAAATACGCGACTACCAATATTTAAGTACAAACCAAATCTGGTATAAAACATTAACTTTCTTGAAATTCTATAAAATAGTATTTAAAATATAAATAACATTGAAATCAAAATGTTATTCAGTGCCACATATTACTGTTGAAGACAATATTGAAAATTTAACGTTTTTGTATAATTTTGCATAAAAGACACATCATTGACTAAATGAATTAATTTGTATCATAAACATATTTAGTTAAGAATGTCCGATTATTCAAACAGTACTCAAAAGTCAAAATTGAAGTTTTGAATCATGCATCTGTACGTATCTTCTGGGACTATTATACTTATGTTAAATACCTGGGATATCTTTAATTTGATCGAATAAACCTTAAAGTACACATATACGAACATATGATTTTTTTTTTCTTTTTGATTCAGACAATTTTTATTAAATATAAAAATAAGAAGATGTGGTATGATTGCCAATGAGACAACATTCCACAAGAGACCAAATGACACAGAACTTAACAACTATAGGTCACCGTACTCTGAATATTCCAATTTCTATTAGTACATATTGGAATTAATTTTGTACTGGATTTTATTTAGTTTAAATCCGAATTCTGATTTCTACTAGTAGATATTGGAATTCCAATTTGTACTAGGAGGATTCTGGATCCTACTGCATTCCAATTTGTACATGTATACAAGGGCGAGTCCAAAAACATTTAGGAAACAAAATATTATTACTAGAAATTTGTTAGGAGCAATCGGGCACAAATCTACAAAACAGACTCCAAATGGAAAACTAGAGGAACTCTTGAAATCAAAACAAAATCAAAATCAAGCGCATAATATCCATATATATACTAAACATCTATACGACGGTCTAAAGCCCTAAGTGCATTACGATTTAAAAACATTAACGTGTTCATGATTTTGCCGTACTAAAAAGCGGAACAAAATGTGCTTTCAATTGTGTTTAGGATCTAAATCGTAAACGCCATTTTTAAAGTGTGGAGTATAACTTTTGAACTAGATTACCAAAGGAACATCCACACAAAGTTTGGTTAAAATCTATTAAGCCGTTTCAGAGAAGATACATTTTTTAAAATTTATTGACGACGGACATTTCAGGAATACCAACTCCGAATTGGGTCACCTGAAGGTAGATAGATCTTATATTGCTAATCATTTCTGTTCGTTGTTTTCGAGATAATAGCCAAAAAGTGCGAAATCTTCTAAAATGACTTTTCATGGACAATAACCCCAAAATGGGTGGTTATCCGATTTTTATTGTTGACAATTTTAGGGAAGATTGAATGTGACCTGCTGATCATCAAAGCTAATATGTTAGTTTTGCTCTGCCTGCTTCAAATTGATATTTTGGTCAAAAGCTGCAGTTTTAATTCTATGCTCTATATTTAGCAACGAAGCTCATGTTTGTTGACGATGCAAAATCTTAGACACAATTTATAAACAAGACTCCACATGGAACATTCAAACAAAGCTAATTGAAATCCGTTCAAAAGTTTCAAAAATAAGAATTTTGGAGAAAACAAAGTTTGTGCCGACGACGGACGCCTAGTGATGACAAAAACACGTTAAAAGCCCAAAGTACAAGAATGAAAACAACTATAGGTTACTTCCAAGAACGTCAACAATGACCAAAATAATAATAAGGAGATGTGGTATGATTCTCACGGAGATAACTTTTGATCAAATGCCGAGAAGGAAGATATGAAAAGCTACAAGTCACCTTACGGCTTTCAACATTGGACATAATTCATACCATGTAGTAAGCTATTACGGGCACCAAGATGGCAAGATGTAAAACAGCTCAATTGAAAAAAAAAAACTTCGGCGTGATTTATGCTAGAATAATGAACGAAAAGCAATAATGACAAACAGCAACACTCGACAACCTCTGGAATACAAACTCCTGGCTTGGGACAGGCACATACATCTGTTGCAGGATAAAACATAATTATGAGCACTAAACCCACCAAATAACATAAGACAATGATGTAACAACATACGAACACAACACATTTTAATAAACTGTTGACACAGAGATAGTTCTCGACTCACTCTGTATGTAATTTTGATAGTATAATGCAAATGTTGAAATTAAAATCGCAATACTTCAACATGTAAAATATGAAACCATTGAAGTCAATAAACCATGACTGAAAGTGTAGGGGCAAATAATCTCTGTGGAAATGAAATGAGAACTGTCCATGCTAATACAACTGTATACCAAAACAAGTTTCTAATCTTAAGTGGCTCCCATTAAAATGATCTAGACACACTTTAACACGTAAACTTTGCAAAAGTTTCAAAATCAAACCACAATGACTGAGAGGCGGGGTCATACAATCTCCATGGAAATTAGACGTACTTATGATAATACAACTGCATACTAAATATCATTGACTTACCCTTATTGGTTCATCTTTATCTGACCTAGTCGTGATCACAAACTTTTAAATATGAAAACTTTGAAATTTTTGCATATGACTATGACTGAAGGGGCGGGATCAAACAATCCCCATAGAAATGAGATGTACAAATGCTAATGCAACTGCATACCAAATATCATTGACCTACCACTAGTGACTTCCCGTTAACTTTCCTAGTCACAACTATGCAATATGTTAAGCTTTCAATCATCCCGAGTCTCTAAAAGTTGCGAATAAATTTAGTAGATCTGCCACCAGTACCAAATTCCTTCAATGACAAAACCCATTAAAATGTTACAAAAGACAACCACCTTATAAGGTTCCTCACTATTGACCAGTACATATATATGTGTGAGAGATGAGCTAGTTTCTTTAAATCTCAATCGTCCACCTATAAAATTGCTTTTAATTGCGGTCATTGTAATGACAAAAGGTACATAAAAAACGTATAATTTAAATGAGTACATAAAAAGCACTCAATTTTACATTAAAAGGATCCAAGAAAATATTTTGCACAGTATAACAGTCCATAACGACCACCCAAACCTGACTCTTCCGACAAATAGCTGTAGCTGTATTTGGCAGAACCTTTCGGAATTTTAGGTTCTCAATACTCTTCAACTTCAACCTTTATTTGGATTTTTAGATTTTTGATTCGAGCGTCACTGATGAGTCTTTTGTAGACGAAACGCGCGTCTGGGGTACACAAATTTAATCCTTGTATCTATAATGAGTTTATTTCGAAGTTAATGAAGGTAAAATGATTGGTGACAGATCGTTGATTGCCTCTAATTAATAAAATCTCGACGTATATGACTCCGGGCGATTTACAGATTGACATATCATATAGACAACAGTTACTGTCTATTGTTGAGGACTGTATGCTGGCTTCTATATATATGTCTGTGGGTTGTTTCTGTCGAAAAGTTGCTGTTTCGTAGAAATATATCCTACATCACCTTTAGTTTTATTTATATTAAGGCACATAACCTGCTGATATGAAATTATGCTGTCATACACTCTAAAATCGGTGGCTGTACATTTCGATGTAGATTTTATACAAAAACTTTGTAAAAAGTATAGGAATAAATTGGGTTATGTGCAAGAAAAACGCGGGTCTGCACATAGATGACTGAATTGAATTAGTATGGCTATTTTAGCAAACTCTTGCAGGGGATAAGTTGAAGAGTTTTCTCTGTTTCTGTAGGAGCCGTCCTTGTTTTCTTTCTTGGTGATTTTTTACAATCAGACTTTAACCATGAGCAGAAGGACGGGTGTCCGAGCAGAAATCATACATATCCTTCTGGTGAACCGTATTTTGTTAGTAGTCTTATTTGGGCGCATGCTTAATTTGCCACTTGTTTTCCCCTAATTTCCTACAGAAAATGCGGAGTTATTATAATGGGTATGTATATCCATAATTAACAATTCCTTACTCTTTTGTTACACCTTCAGCAATCGCGTGTAATATAGTAATCACTATATGTCCGTCCACCGTAACCTATCTAACACCCATCATAAGCTTGAAAGAATCCCGAAAAAAATAAGAGTTACCACCCCCTCCGTTTTTACATGCTATAGAATTTTTATGGGTTACCACGTTGTTTAGATTCAGCTTTATTAGTTGTAAGTTGCTTGTGAAAAGTAAACATACCCAATCAAGTAATTATGTGTGCTCATGGAGGATCAGATCTCTTGGTTCATTTCGTTCATACATTACAAGAGGCAGCAGGTACTGGTGAGGAAAATAGAATGTAATGGAAACAGATTGAGAAAGGGAGGATTAGAAAGTAGGATCGATGTGAAGATAGGCTAATTTTATGTAATACTGTGATAAGTAGTGTATCCTGCGTGAAAAACCTAGTACCCGAGTATATTTTGATAAACATCTTACGATGGAACGGCAAGTTTCTGCCATAGTAAAATCTTGCCATTTTCACATCAGTAATATTGGACGCATTCGCAGCTTTACAACAGCATCCGCTTGAAAGACACTAGTGAACTGTCTAGTTACATCCAGACTTGATTATGGGAATATTCTGCTGTACGGTATCAACAAGACTACAATGAACAGATTACAAAAAGTACAAAATACACTGAGCAGCTCGTCTTATCACCAAGACAAGGAAACATGAACATATTACGCCAATACTTGCCGATTTTCATTGTTTGCCTGTCCAATACAGACCACAATACAAAATACTGTGCTTTGAATGGCATCGGCCCTGCTTACATTCGGGAACTAGTCAACTCAATTTTTTTTACGGGTTTTTACTTGTTTTGTATCTACTTTTAATGCAACATTTTGCATTCCTTTTTAGGGTTTTAGGCTGTTTCGCATGAATTTAGAAAGATTGTTAAATTTCATCATTTTGTTTTAACATGTATTTCCGTATTGACCTTTTTTATGGTAGGTATTTTTGTCGTATTTATATTTCAGTATACGTATTTGCATCTGAGTGTATGTTTTGTGTTATTCTAATTATTTTCTTTAAATTACCCTGCTGCATGTACAGCACCTTAGAGCAATTTTTATTTTTTATATAGGGCGCTTTATAAATTTTCATTATTATTATTATTTTTATAATTGGCATTTATCAGTATCCCTTTCCTAACGCGTTAACTACTGATATTCACGCATCAGAGTTATTCTTCTTTGATCGTTTTCAGAGAAAACATTGTGTACATAATCATTTACCCCAGTTGTAATCCTAGTAGAGAAAGAAATGATCATTAATAGATAAAATGCCAATTAATCGAAAAAGCGAATATGTATAAAGACTTTTCAGTTTTTTGTCAGAGTTCATGTTGCTTTTATAATAACTTTGTTTTTTTGTTGAGAATTGATTGTAGGCTGTTCGTAATTAATCTTATCTTTAGCATATGGCAAACGTTCTTTTTTGGACTTGTCACGGATATTTGATCGGTGTCTCATTCTTATCTTTTATATAAAATAAGTAAGCTAAAACAAAAGGGTTATAATACATGTACGCAAAACAATTAGAAAATGAAATGTTCAAATCATGATTTCATCTTCAAGCTAAGAAGGAACAGCGAAACAGCAAATTTTAAAGACAGTAAAAATCAAACGCAACCAAATTGTGGATCGAAATATCATGTTGTAGGTGTGAGTGGTATACTGGAAAAGGTACACGTGTCGTTGGCATGTTCGATATCAGTTTATATTACTGCTTCAAGGTTAGTACCGCTGCTTTTGATTTGCTAGTCCCCGATGGTGTCATTAATCTTTGAATTCGCTTTTAGTAACTGCGAGCACTCTTAAATCGGTACTTTGCGTCTTTTTTATTTCTTTTGTCATTTTTTTACGCTTATTATCGATCTGATAAGTCAAAAACCCTTTATAAAGACGTTTACAGTTTGTGCTTATTTTGTGATGTTACACCATATCACTGTCTCTAGTGAGGAGAGAACGAGCGCTCATAAACATATTTAAACCTATTACTTTCTGTATGTGCCTGTCTCAAAACCACAGCCTGCTATCATGAGGTTGTCGTTGATTGCTCTCTGCTATTAATTATTGCATTTCGTTTATTTTTGTTGTATAAATCAGGTCGTTGTTTTTCTCTTTTGAATAGCGTTGTCACAGATGACCACGTGCATGTTCAAATTCTCGATTACAGAATGCGACTTCTCACCGATTTTTACTTGGAATGAACGACACGACGGATGCCACAGTTGGAACAGGTTATGCTCAGTACCCTATCGTAGCACATGATACCATCCTCCGATTTTGGGGGGAGTCTTGTTGCTCAGTTTTATGTTTTCTGTGTATTTTTTTTGTAGACTTTTTTTTCGTCGTTTTTCGATTTTTGATTGTTCAGTTGTATCCTCTGGCTTTCTTCGGCTTATGGTTTTTGATTGTCAACATGTTTCCTCTGCCTCTTTTTAATTGATCCTCATAAAATTTAGTCTTGAAATTTTCTTGTATAATTTAGTATGGCACATCAAACGTTTCAATATTAAAAAAAATATATTGATTCAAAAAAATAATTTTTGTTCAAAACTTACAAATATATATGCAATACTTTTCTATATATATTCCAAAAAATTAAAAAAATTATGTTCAAAACTTTCAAATATACATGCAATATTTATATATATATATATATTCAAAAAAATAAAAAAAATCATGTGCAATATTTTATATATAGATGTGGTAAAAAATATAAACAAGTCTAAATTGAAAACAACGTTCAAACCTATGATTTGTGGCATTAGTTTCATATTGTTACTTTATAAAGAAGTTCCTGTTTTGACAAACTAGACAAAGAAGTTGCATGGTCAAGTTAAAAACAAATAACATCTTATTACTGAAACCGTATCACGATAACAGTATCGGTTATGATTCATGTCATTTTGAAGATATAGACAGATTTTCCAGCATTATTGACAATAGCAATGTCGTTTGTGAAGGCGTCGTAGGCAATGCCACGAGGACAATCAATGTTGCTCTCTGCACCTAGAACATATATCCATTGAGACTGTCGTCTGTGGTACATATATACTTTATTCGAATAATCACATGTTATGAAAATGTTTCCGTTTGTATCTGTTACAATTCCGTTTGCTCCATATAACCATGGACAACGTGAATAAGACCATTTTGTAGTAGATAAATTGAAAAAGTTAACGAGTTCCGAATTTCGTTTTACACTTAACAATGTTCCATCTTTTCCTGCAATAAACCAAATTCCTGGATAATTTGAGTGCTTCTGTACAATAGAACCATCTAATGTTATCACGACTAGATCACCGTTCAGACAGTTAACTAAAAGCATTTGATTCAAAAAAGTTACGCCATGGCAAGATTTTTGCAATGTTATCTCTTTTGCTATTTTCATATATTTGAGATTCGTGACGTCAATAATCAAAACCGTTTTCTTTAATGTAACAGCAATTCTATTGTCAGGAATAATTTCCATATCTTCTGGCTTCTGCTGAAGCAAGAACTCACTTAATTGAGTACCAGATGTATTATAAGTCAAAAGTCGAGGTTGCGATCTTTCAGCAATTATCATATTGCTATCACGGAGTACCTTTACACAACATACATCAATGTTTGGATTTTTCTTTTCAATTTGAAAATGCCATTTGTATTTTAATAAAGGTATTTTGTTCTGGTTGCTTATTCTAGGATTTGGTTTTAACTTTAACTGAAAGTTTTCTAGACCTAACAGACAGGCTTCACTTTTCCATTTAGAAGCACACACTGATCTTGTTTTTGTTGCATAATCCTTTGAAACGACGGAGTCGGTATGTTCGAAAGATGACGATTCTTGATTAGATCTTGAGGAAGGTTGTAACTGAATTTCTTCTTCGTCTTCGACAGTTGAAGAATCTTGATCATGCATGCTGAAATCAAGACTTTCAATATTGCAAGGTATTGATTTGAAAGATACCATATCAATCAGCAATATGTTTTCATTTCGTTCATCGGGTTTGAATGAAATTGAATATTTGCACTGCAATGTCGATAATGTGTTTACCGACTCTCGTAAATTGTAGGCATCTTCATCATTTTTGCCTTTAATGATCTTTTCCGCTAAGAAAAATTGGTTCGGACTCACTAGTTTTAATTTGAGCAACGTTTGCATCATACATCGCCTTTCTTTCATATCTTCCACTCTAGAGCTGAAACTTTCTATCTGATTCTGAAGTGCATGTCTTTTTGTTTGATATTCACTATCGAACTTTTGAAATGTATTGTCAAGATCAACAAGTAGTTTTTGTAAATGCTGTTTCTTGTCTTGCACATGAATTTTACATTGTTCATATTGATAATCTATTTGTTCCAGATTTTCTGATCGGTTAGCACGAATTTTTTCGAGTGTTTCTGTTGTCTTATTTATGTTAGCAACTACATCGTTTGATTGTTTTTCATATTCTGGTTTTATGACTAAGTCTTCAATCAGTTCGACGTCACTACATGTTTTGTGTTCCATAGCTTTGCAAATAATGCAACATGGCGCTTCATGGTTTGAACAGAAGTAAAGTGAAGGTTTATTCGCGTGAGTTTTGCAGGAAAGTGGCATAGTTTCAAGTAATTGAGAAATAGAAACGTATTCATTAGACGTTAAAAAGCAATGATCCTTTGTAATCTTGAGAACTTTATGGTACTCGAAACATAATGCACACAGCATTTCGTTACATTGTATACACCAGTGTGATATGGGCTCTTGTTTCTCCTGTCGTTCGCATGGTTGACATAAATTGATGCTCATATTTTTTGGTGGTATATCGTCACAATCGTTTTGCATCAATTCTTATGTAACCTGCAAATATCATTTTTTTGTTTGTTTATAAAACGGTGTTAATAACCTGAAATGAAAAAGAGAATACGATTATACAACAAAAAAGTGAGTAAATATATATACATTTAGGCAACAGTAGTTAAAAGATGTTCAAATCTCGTTAATCGATTAAAAAGACATATGAATTAAGGTTGCAAAGAAAAACTCCAAAAGGAACGAGACCGGGTGCGTCGACAGGATATGCGTCTCCCGCTATGCATGCATGTATACTTGAAATGGCTGTAGCCCGGGTGCGTCGACAGGATAGGCGTCTCCCGCTTTGCATGCATGTATACTTGAAAAGGCCGTAGCCCGGGTGCGTCGACAGGATATGCGTCTCCCGCTATGCATGCATGTATACTTGAAACGGCTATCATGCTGAGCGCATGCAAGACCTAAGTTTATTTTCAAACAATTTTGATAATCAATCTAAGTTGCTGTTAATCGCTCTTTTCAGAAATTATGTCCCCTTGCTATATAAAATAAAGAGATTGGATATGATTGCCAATGAGACAACTGTCCAACATATCATGTTGCAGATTTAAGTACCTAAAGGTCACGATATGGCACAAAACAATGATTCTAACACAGTTTTTGACGAAGGAACACAACGATCCTTTATGACGCAGGAAAAGTTGACAAGTTGAACATCAAGCCAGACGGAAAGGAAACGCTCAGTATAGCCGTCTTTGGAGATTCGGACAAGAATCTTCAAGCTCTATTGCTGGGTATACTAAAGCTCCGAAAGATCTTTCCGTACTATTAGCATCAATTTCATCAGCAACCAAAGCCGTGATTCGGAGTTACTGTAAAACTACCTATTCTAGGGGTTGTTTGAATCAGTTGTTGAAACTAAAAAGTTAAAAACAGATTGAAAGAATTTGTCCTGATTTGTTTCCTTAATAAGAATTGAACAACAATTTCTCTGAGAACGACACCATCAACTTTCTCGATTTTTTGATTGACAACATATTTATTACATTTGGAAGGCGTTTTTTTAAATCGACATTCCGCTGGAAACCAGCTGTGCTCCTCATCTTGCTGACTTGTTTCTTTACCCATATGAGACAGGCTTCTAATAGGAGCTTCTCTGGAAGAATGAACAGAAGCTAGCATTATCCACGAACTTCACGTTCCTCTGTATACATTAGCTGAAAGGGTGATAGAGCAGATTGTTACTCCGAGAAAACATTGTCAACCGAGGTGAACAAGTAAAAACGGATGAAAACTGAAATGTGGGAAGTTGGGTGAAATATTCTTATAAAGGAGGTATTTAAGACAGTCACAAGAAATCGCTTAGAACTTTTTATATATTTAAAAATAGCATAAGAAATAAGACAATTTTCTGTATAACTCATGTGATCAAATCCTGAGGTGATGAGTGACATCATGTGATATCAAACATGGCTATCACTGTTACTTATAAAATAGACGATTTGATACCATATTTATTAAGATATTTGTAAACAAAAATCACGCGAATGACGAATTGATACCATACTTTGGTAAAATAATAGATTAATGATCCCTTAAATGATTTGTGGTTTGTCACCACAACATGCTTCAAACATAACTACCACTTGTACTGAAAAGAGGTGATGTGAGACTTTTGAATGTCAGTTGCTGGTTGTGTCAGGATTTCGTTGTAAGCATGATAAAAAGTTATAAGTTTTAATTGTACATTTTTAATTTATAAATCATATAAATTGTGACATTAACCACAAATGTCATCTCTTAAAATAAATTTGACTCAGTCAGTTTTTAAAGATCCTTTCACGTCTTAAAAATGAAAAATAAAAACACTTCCTAATCGCTTTTTTATAAAAGAGAGGCAAAAGATATCAAATGGATATTCAAATCGGAAACAAACTGACAATGCCATGTCAAAAACACGAAAACGACGAAAAGACAAACAACGGTATACAAAACACAACATATGATACTTAAGATTGAGCAACACGAACCCAACCAAAACCGGGTTGATCTCAAGTGCTCCGGAAGGGGAAGCAGATGTAGTACACACCTCGTTATATAAATATTTAATCTCGCGTTATGATTTATATGACCACTTGTGACCTAAAACGAATAGCAGAATACATTTAAGGTTAAATTTGCCTGAGGTGGTTGCAACTTTGTTAGTAATTTCTGAATTTAACAACATAGAATGTTATAAAAAATTGTTACAAATCATGTCAGTACCGAAAAACTGACTATTGGGCTGATGATACCCTCGGATTGTATACCAGTGCAACAGCAGTGGCATCAACCGCGTGCTAGTAATTGAAAATAACACGTTATACATTTCGTGCGTTGGAAGCGCTTTTCTGGATTTACTTTAAGAACTTCTAGGTCCGAAACGTTTTACATATTTACTACTGTTTACGTATTTCTAAAAACTTTTGTCGGCAATGAAATCGGTATCATACGTTTAATTTACCTTTATATGCTCACATGAAAAAAAAATGTTTCGGGAGCTGTTCAAGAGTGAAACAGATTTTAAGTAAAAAATGTTTTTTTTTTTAAAAAGAACAGCAAACGAATGTCAAGTCAGAATACATACCTTCCGACTTCGAACAATAATAAATAAAAGAGAGGCGGAAGATATCAAAGCGATATCTAAACTCATAAATCGATGACAAACTGACAATGCCATGGCAAAAAATGAAAACGACAAAAAAACATGAGTATACAAACGCAACATATTAAACTAAAGACAGACTTAGCAACACGAACCAAAAAACCGGAGCAGATCTCAAGTGCTCCGGAAGGGTAAGAGTAAGCAGATCCTGCTCCAATTGTAATACTCGTCGTGTTACTCATATAAATCACGTTGCAACGTTATATCAAATGATAAGGCATCACGCAATAGCGGATTGGTAATTGACTCTTATCTAACCCTAAGACATCACACATTTCGTAAACTATCGGTCATGTTAATTTCTAATACCGAAATTTTACAACCGAATTTGAAATTTTGAAATTGAAACACGTTTTACCTGACTGACAAAGGATAGACAAGACTGTTACAGGTATAAACAACCCAGACATTGAAAAAATCATATAGGACAAAGAACTCTTAAAAATGAAGCAAAAGCAATACAAACACCTTTCAATCAAAAACAAGGAGTGATTTCATGTGCTCGGGTAGGGTATGCAGATCCTGCTCTATATGTGGCATCTGTCGTGTTGCTCCTGTTAGTACACACTCGTAAATTATCTTAGATGCCAACTTTATCTTAGATAATGTATGTGTCCATAATGACTTTGTCATTCAATTGATAGTGAGTAGTTTTTGTCATTTGCTTGACTGTAAAAGAGAGGCGAAAGATAACAAAGCGACATTCAAACCCATTAGTCGAAATCAAACTGGCAACGCCATGTCTAAAAAAGACAAACAGACAAACAAAACATAAAACACAACATAAATAACTAAAGACTGAAAGGCTGAAAGACTGAGCAACACGAACCCTACCAAAACTGGGGGACAATATCAGCTACTCCGGAAGGGTAAGCAAATTTTGCTCCACATGTGGCACCCGTCGTGTCGATCATGTAAGTACAAACCCGGTGATAAGTCTAATTGGGTAGGTCACATTCGGGGGAAAAGGGACGGGATTGTAGACGAAAACTGAAACATATCCTTTGTCATATGTGAAACAGATATTCCATTACGGTCAACCAACTCATGATTGCGTCCGTAAAATTTACGAAGGGATGATTTCAACTTCACCATTTGAACCCTTGGTTAAATAGCTTCCTTGTGAGCAGCAACCCTCTATCAAGGAAATCAAGATAGGAAATACAAGCCCTGGAATATCGTATCTACTGGGAAATATATACCCCGTGTGCAGGCGCTGCTGTAATGTTGCTACATAAAAATGGAAAATCATCTCTTTTGTCGTAAAGATTTGTTTTCAACCGACCCTCATTGTCAATGTATGTTGTATCCTTCTCAAGTTCGATAGGAAAGATGCGTTCAACATAGTCAACATAGTCACCAAATTTTGAATTATTTAGTGAGAGAACATCATCTATATAGCGGAAAGTGAAGTTAAAGGATACTGCTAACTTCTTTTCTTTCTTTCTTAGAAATTCCTGTATGAAGTCAGCCTCAAATGAATAAAGGAACAAGTCGGCACGAAAAGGAACACAGTTGGTTCCCATGAGAGTGATTTTTTACAAAGTACGACTTATCCCTCCCTCAGACAAGATACTTGTATCTAAGTTGACCATTCTTTTTTATGTAACAAAGTAGGACCAACTCTTTCAATTTGTCGTTTAGTTTGGAATGGGGAATACCTGTGTAAGTGTAGAAAAGTCAAATGTTTAAATACTATTGCAAGATGAAAGAGATTGTATCATAAATGTATGTACTCTAAAAGATGTTTGGAGCATTTTAGTATCCACATCTGATTCACGCCACCTCAAGAATAGGTAGTTTCACAATAATTTTGAAGCCCGGTTTTGATTGTTGATAAAATTGATGTTAATAATTAAGAAAGAGGTCTCGTAGAGCACTTGGAAGACCCAGCAATATAACGTTGTTTGTAAGGACACTTATGTAGTTTGGGTAAAGATTTTTCCAATCAAGTAATAAGGACGGTATATAAGCTTTAATATAACTAAAGACCAATCTGCATAAATAACAATTATAGTTAGACGAGTCTTTTAACCCGGGGTATCTGGTTATTATAGAAGTCGATGGAAACATTTGCAATATGCTTATATGTCCCCTGCACGTTAGAAAAAATAATTTTCAAAAGACTTATTAAGCAACACAATGTTTCATAAAATTGCTAGATTTGCACGTCCTGTCTTGAACTGCCGTAAATTTTCCAGCTCATTTATCATAAAATTAAGAATGGAAATGGGGAATGTGTCAAAGAGACAACGACCCGACCATAGAGCAGACAACAGCCGAAGGCCACCAATGGGTCTTCAATGCAGCGAGAAACTCCCGCACCCGGAGGCGTCCTTCAGCTGGCCCCTAAACAAATATGTATACTAGTTCAGTGATAATGGACGTCATACTAAACTCCAAATTATACACAGGAAACTAAAATTAAAAATGATACAAGACTAACAAAGGCCAGAGGCTCCTGACTTGGGACAGGCGCAAAAATGCGGCGGGGTTAAACATGTTTTTTGAGATCTCAACCCTCCCCCTATACCTCTAGCCAATGTAGTAAAAACAAACGCAAAACAGTACGCACAGTAAAACTCAGTATAAGAGAAGTCCGAGTCCGATGTCAGAATAGGAAACAAAAGAAAATAAACAAAATGACAATTATACATAAATAACAACAGACTACTAGAAGTTATGGACATGCCAGCTCCAGACCTCAATTAAACTGATTGAAAGATTATGTCTTCGTCAAATGAATATCAGGCACAATCCCTCCTGTTAGGGGTTTAGTATTATACCATCATAAAATATATGAGAAGAACATAACCCGTGTCATGCCAACAACTGGTTTTAGAATAAATGTGTTTGTAAATTTGTAAATTCGATTGGTTACTATTGTTATTATTCCGTTGAACTATCTGGTTTAAGAAGACTTTATTTTACGTCATTTGTGCGTTTTTGGGGCTAAATCTAATTCCATATCAAGAATTAGATAAATATGATAATTCATAAAATAAACTAAGTACCGTAGGTAGGATTGAAAGTTAGGGTTGAATAATGTCCAAAGATTATATGAAGTAACATATATTGTCCAGTTTAGTGCGTGTTGGAATTTTTAATGATCAAGTAGAATTTATTTTTTTAATATATAAACTCTTAAAATGCAAACGTTAAAATGCAATACTTTCAGCTTATTTCTGTGAACATTTCATAGTATAACATCTTACAGGCATTTTAAAAAATGCCCGAATTTAGAAAATGACTGTAACATACATAAGAATAAAGAGACGCTTGTAAAATTTAAAGCAGTAACAATGGCCGTTTCAGTTAGCTATGCTATGATCACGTTTGCCCATTAAACTTGCATATTACGTGAAAAAAATGAAAGCAAAAAAAATAAATTAAATCAACATGTTGCAACTGTTGTAAAAAAATTCAAAGGGGCATTTCTTACAAGATATAAACAAAATATGATTTTGTTGTTTGTTCAATTATTAATGAAAGTGAAATAATAATTCGCTTTAAGCAGCCAATTTGGTTCAATTTTGTCAAAATAAGCTAAGAAACATCACTGATGAATTATACTTGCAAGTGAATAATTCGACATCATTGAATCCGTATTCATGTGGCCTTCAATTTAACCCCTTCGCTGGAGATGGGCTACACATGTATTTAACTATTAAAAGAAAAAACAAACATGTCAACATTGAAAGTGAAACACGGATGAACCATTTGGTTGACTGATTTGATCCACAAAAATCATTCTTAAACAGGTAAAAACAATGATAAACATACTTTTCAACCTACAATATGAAATCAAACATACCTAGAAAAATCCAATTGCAAGTGGTCGCTACCTATTTATATCTATACTTATGTTTATATCGAGTTATGTTTATGACCGTCGGCAGTCTCTATGGTTAGTTAGATGACGTCTAGACAAAAATACACACTATCTATAAAGAATTTGATAATATGAAGGATTTTCGTTTACAAGAAAGTTCACGTACAATTTTAGTAGCATGAATAAAACTTAGCCATCAAGTATTTGAAACATATTCAACTTTTTTTAAATTTGAAGTTTCATACATGACTTTAAGTGTCAACTATCAATTGTGATAGTTTAATAAGAAGTAGAAAGATCCATGTGGTAATTAAAATCATCTTCCTTTACCGTAAACTGAATTCTCCTTGGTTTACATGAACTATCATAAATCATTTATCATATAAATGAGTATAAACAGCTAAACAAAGTATTTTTTAAATGCTACGTCTAGGTTAGTCTATGAAAAGGTATATACTATGAAATTTAGAGCGAGGGGCTTAGAATTAGAATTGCATCCCAACTCCTTTGTTCTAACAAGGGTGATCTGAGTCGGATCACCCCTTCCAGATCACCCTACCTTGAGTTTCTTTGTTCTGCATGCTTTCTTTTGTTTTGTAACATTTTGGCGGGAATGTCGAACAAACAATAAAACTTAGAAATATTTATGCGGAATAAAGACTAACTTTCAAAATTTATGTAGAAAAAGTTTCCAGTGTCTATGCCGGGAATCGAACCCAAGACCTTAAGCATATGCAGCCACGATTTTTTTTTATCTTTAATGCAGCCACGATTCGGCATACCCCTACACCAGGACCACCGGATACAAACTTACTGCTAATTTAACATAATAAAACATTGTATCCTGGGCCCATAAAGGGTATATACTATATAGTAATATATAAAGTTATTATAATTATTGTATGGCATTCTTAACTAGATATTATGAAGCGTTTAAATATTTTTTCATATAGTCTAGAAGAGCTGGGGTGTAAAATAGTTATACCACTCGGACTTGGTGTGTCAGTGTAAGATCACCCTCCGGCCTCCGGCCGTCGGGATGATCTTATACTGACACACCGCGTCCTCATGGGATAACTATTACGGATTCGACAAATATGGCCGTGTTTACACCACAAAATCTACTATGAGTACAGACAAACCGATGCATCTAGGAAAGTTTAAATGCATGTCTGGACTTTACGTAAGAGTACCCAAATTGCACCGAGTACCCAATTTGCACCCATTTTTTTTAAAGCTGTTTTTTTAGAGACTTACCATTTGCATTTTTATAATTTGCCATTATGCACGTTTTCAACATAGATAGTTATATTTAAATGTACACAAAGCGTTCACATTTTATATCAACAGATGAAGTAAAATCTATTGAAACTTCGCATGCGACGTCCACAAAAAATCAACTTTTAAAAAAGGACAATTAAAATATGTTACATGCAGTTCTTGCTTACAAAATTGGAACTATTTAGTAAAGAAGGATACATCTACAAAATAAACACAAATTGGAAACTTTCAAGTTTCTTTTATATAACGTACGGATGAAAAAACTGGGGTAACCTCACATTAGATATATAAAAGTGATATGCATTTAATAGTTCACAAAATTAAAAACTTAGATTTTGTTGTGATTTTTTTCCAGTCTACAGAAGATAGCAAAAAAACCAAATACCAGAGTTTCAGTTGATACTAGTATGGTCCACTCAGTTAGACAGTTTAAATCCAACTATTGCTGTGCAGATATTTTTTATTCGTCTATTGTCCATGCAAATCAAAATAGTTCACATTTATTGCACGAGGGGAGCTGCTCAAACTTCTTTCCCAACTTAGTTTATTTTGGCACCTTCTGCAGGAATGAAAAAAAAATAACAGCAAAATCCGATTAAGTTTTTAATATTATGAAAAATCAAATGCATTTAAATTTTATTCATCTGGATTAAGCCAAGCTTTTAAACTTTTCCAGATGCACAGGTTGCTTGCACTAAGAGTGAGATTTTTGGTGTTAATACGGACATATTTGTCAAAAGGCAGTGATAAACCTTAAGTGTAAACTAAATTCTCTATGGTATATGTAAATTATCATTAAGTCAATGTAAACAGTGAAAAAAAATAGTAAAAATTCTTACCAGGAAATACAAAATAAACTGTCCTGCATGTTACGCCATATAATTCTTTTTCAAATGTCAAGGTAATCTATTTATCATTATCAACTTTTTTAATCATGTCTACTACGATTTAACAAATTTAAATCTCTTGCTAGCTTGATATGTTTCAACGACCATTAAACGTATTTAAACAAACAATAATGTTTACTGCGATTGTGTTTAAAGAGATCAAACAGACACGCGATCTGCCAAATAGTTCAAAATTTCACGGAGGAGTGTGCATGACTACCATTTGCTTTGATTAGTGCCGATTCTTCGTGAGAACCTGATCAGTGCATTTTACAGTATCTTCTCGGATATTGCCCATAATATGCTTTTCAAACCGGTTGGTACTGGAAAAGAGGAAATTTCAAGGAGAAACGATATCTAATCTAAAACTTTCTTTTTCCAACATCGTAAATCAGTCTAATCTAAAATACCTCCCTAATCTAGTTCGTTGCAATCATCTCTTATACCTATACTACTTCACCTATTACGACTAAATTATCACTTGCAGGATCTGAATACTAAAGACCTTAAGTCTAATGCTCCTGGTTGCATCTATAAAGTTCCCCATTCAAACATATTATAGCTTATATGACCGGATGAAAAGCATGTTAATTATTTGGACTATCATCTTTCTGACTTTAATTATTATATCTTTTAATTGTCATTATTACCTCAAATATTCCCACACAATTATCTTTTGGTTAAAAAATGTATGTTTCTACTAATCCGATAATGGACTTCGTATCTACGCGTCAAAGACAGTTTTAGCAGATTATCTAAACAATGGACAATAATTGCTTAATCCGTAGTTACATGTATTTCTTTATTAGTCTGTTTTATATACTTCTTAAAAATAATTTATATTCAGTTTTGGAAAGGTTCTTTAACCGTAAACACCGGACTCAATATTGTAACATCGTTTATATTCTTGTTGGATCGTTTATTAGATTGTTAAACTTTATACCGACTTGAATCTTCATTTAATACCCAGCAAATAGTCTGGTTATACATGGTGTTAGAGACTCGTGAGTGTTATCTTTTATAGATCAACACAAGATTCCGTTACCTCAGCAGCCAAGCGAAATATCCCACAAGGACAAGTTACAGACGAGTGAATAGCTTACCCCAGAATTCTTATATTTCGGAAGAACTATATTTGGACAGTATTATTAAATACAATGGATTATTACGGATATTCCTTAAGACCACAGTGGATGTGGAATTATTCGCCGTATCGCATTAATCCAGAAAGAAGGGACTTTATCAGAATGTGTGGAAAATGTGGAAAACAACATACCAATAAGAGTTTGTGTTCCGCAAGAAATTCAAAATGCTTAAAATGTCAAAAACCAGGACATTTTGCTCGACAGTGCTTCTCTCGTGTTGGCCGAGTTAAAATTCATAAGAATGAACTTAAAACTGTTTCAATTTCGACACAAACGGAAAATTGTAACCATAAGAAATCAATTAAGAAAAAGGAAAGAGATTCTAAAAGACTTCAAGATTATTTTGATCGAAAACGGACACTTCAGGAACTTCCATTTAACAAAACCGGGAATACTGTCTTCATTTCAACTATCAGTAGTGATTGTTTTCTAAGGGACCAAATTGAAACTTTAAAAACGAAATTAGAAGACGAAAGTTTCAACTATACATCTACATTTATGGAATTGCAAAAAGAACAAGAAGCTGTTCGGAAGCTTCGTGAAACAATTAAAAATCGAGACGCTAAAATTATCGAACTGGAAAACACCATACAAAAATATGAGAGAGGACACGATAAAATAGCAGACTATGTCACTGAGATAAAAGTAGAAAAAGAAAATTGGAGATTACAGTGTAATGATGTTTCAGAAATGTACAATGTAGTTAGAAAAAGTGAACTTGATTTAAAGGAAATTTGCAAAAATAACAAGTATGAACTAGAACAATTAAGAAACAACACTCAAAAATGTTCAGGAAATAATCACCAAAACAGGCGTAACTATCAATACCGTGGAAGACGATTTTAGTTATGAAAATTTAAATCCCGTGGACGTGATTCTGGACGAGAGGGGCAAATATGACCGGATGAAAAGCATGTTAATTATTTGGACTATCATCTTTCTGACTTTAATTATTATATCTTTTAATTGTCATTATTACCTCAAATATTCCCACACAATTATCTTTTGGTTAAAAAATGTATGTTTCTACTAATCCGATAATGGACTTCGTATCTACGCGTCAAAGACAGTTTTAGCAGATTATCTAAACAATGGACAATAATTGCTTAATCCGTAGTTACATGTATTTCTTTATTAGTCTGTTTTATATACTTCTTAAAAATAATTTATATTCAGTTTTGGAAAGGTTCTTTAACCGTAAACACCGGACTCAATATTGTAACATCGTTTATATTCTTGTTGGATCGTTTATTAGATTGTTAAACTTTATACCGACTTGAATCTTCATTTAATACCCAGCAAATAGTCTGGTTATACATACAACGTTTTAACTAGTGACCAACAAAGCACTTCTGTGCGAAAAGTGTAAGCCAAAGAGTTGTCATGTAATGAGCTTAAATCCATAAACTAGAAACACAACTTTAAGGTGGTACCCTACACCTTGACTAATATTAATTTGGCTCGTTTAATTTTCATAAAATTTTGACAAAATGTTTACTTTGACCCTTTGACAAAAATATAAAAATTTCAAAAAATTTGAACCAACCACTTTATCAGAAAAATTTATTTGGTTATATAGCAGTTTGACAAACACTAATTTTGATCATTGAGAAGCTTAATATTTCCTTAACAATACAACGTAATTAAAACGTTTAGCTGATTTTTACAGAGTTATCTCCCTGTAGTGTTAGGTACCACCTTAAAACACTGTCATTATTTTAGGTCAAGAAGTTTGCAAGACAAAAGACTAAACGTAAAAAGAAGAAGTATATCATCTGTTCAAATGGGTTAGGCTGCGATGACCCAAACGTCCATCACAAAAACCTTATTGTTCCCGCAGACAAAGTAAAATACTAATTTGTTTATCAAGAGTTGCTGGGTAAAAGAGAGGCGGAGGACACCAAAGGTTTATTCATATGTCAAGACAAACTGACAATGCCATTGGAAAAATAATAAAAACGAAAAGACAAACAACAATCCTCAAAACACAACATTGAATACTGAGCGACACGAATCGGGGGTGATCACAGGTGCTCCGAAGTGGCAACCGTCGTGTTGCTCATTTAATTATAAATTCGGTGTTAAGTCCTATTTAGTGAAGCCAGATTCGAAGAAAAGAGGATGGCTAAGGCATAAGTTATTGACTTTTCACGTGGAAACCAAACGAACAAAAAAAAAAACACTTTTTGGAACGTTCGTAGTGCTTTTCAAGATTTTACCTTCACCAGGAACGATCATTTCCAAAAATTTGAATTACGTGATCTTCCTTCGCTTCATTGGATATCCAAAGGTGTCCTTAAGTTATAAATGTGAAAATGATAAATGGTCCGCGAAACCTCTTTATCAATTATCAAATGGTATATTGAGCAGCAATCAAAACTAGGCCTTAGAGTGTCTGTATAACTAAATACACTAATGGCGATGCGAATAAGATTATTATACAGCATAATTCTAACGATCTGTTAAAATATATATAATTTAATTGTACGAAATATTTGACTTCTCTTCCCTTCACATACGTAATCCTCAATCTTTGAAAGATTACAGAGATAAGTCAAGTTTTGGTTCACAAAAAATGTATACAAATAAGTTGTTTTAGGAAGAGACTAATATGGCTTTTTATTTTCAATAAAACCATCCTAATTCCCAAGAAAAAAAATCGGAAGCTGACATCATTAAGATGCTATATTTGTAATTGATAGCATGTGTGTTACTTGTAGCGGACGTGTTAAACAACAGACATTATTTTTAGGGAAAGCAAATATCTTCTTATTCTTGTCGACTTCTTCATTTCTATGTATAAGGAGAGTACTACATACAGCAGCAAGAAGAATGGAAAGAAGCTGGTATTATCCTTAAATTTCACGTTAAGTTAAAAAGATTTTGTCTTCGCATTAAACATTTCAAGTTTGGTGGCTGTTTAATTAATTACATTGTTTATACTTCCTTATGATTTCTACAAATTTTTAGTGGTTCAGAATAGAGAATAATGAATATCATAAAGAATTAAGTGTGATCTACAAATAATCTAATTTGTCTTTAATATTGTAATATTTACATACTTGCTGGCCATTTTATTTTAGGGTAGACGAGTTTGAGCTTTGGGAAATTTTATGAGGAAAATAATCCTGATAACTAATGATATCCTGGTACTGAAGAAGAAACTACAAACTTTAATAATAATTGCATCGACTCCTTTACTTGTGCCTCTGTCATCAATTATAATGCACCATTTTCAAATTATCCGTAGAAAACTCCTCAGGCTAAACCGACCTTGCATGGTGGGCCTTGCTATTCTTTGTATGTGGCACATTTGGTCATATAGCTCCTCAATTATTCAAGTATTTATACATTCTTGTCTGTAAATTGTTCTAGTTTGAGCATTCCTAATGAAGATTAATCCAGAAAAGTGCTTTTAAAACGTTATTTTCATTCATTGTACATAAAGATTCGAAACACTGTTTATCTAAAAATAATTGATTTCATTCTGACAAAAACATATTTTTTATTTCAAAAAGGTAAAAATAAATATTAAATTGTCATTGTTTTGCCAAGGTGATCGAGACAGGCTGTTATGAACCTCTATGTTTAAGTTTAAACACACCATTTATATTCTGTAAGCAAAATGAACATTAACAGAATGACGAAAAGTAGAGTGTGCACACACTGTGCAACATCTCATTCGTATATATGAACTACTAGATTTCTTAAAAAAACAGTACTGTTAACTGTGAAGAAGGCACCAATGTGTTATAAAAACAGTGCAAAACAAAATGTGATAATCAAATGCCTGCTAGTTTTTTTCATTTATATTTAAACTGCATATTTTCTATCTTCTGTCGATATAACATCACTGCACGAAAATCCTCTGCAACACAAACAGTTCTTTCATAAAAGTGTTCAGTGTTATATCAACTTGTGAAATATGATGACTTGTCTGATATACCAGAGGCTTATCTATTAACATAATTTGGCATGGTCAAATATTTTGAAATCCATTTGTATACCTTTAAATTGTGAACATGACAACAATCCCAAGAACTGAATTCTTGGGCCTTTTTAAATTATTTACACGCCACTAATTTTATGAAAGCGCTTCGTTGTAAGACCCCGCTATACGAACTTCATTAACACGGATGTGTTCCTTACACAAAAACTACAACAGCAGATTTACGAGGATTAACGACTGAAATCGATACAACATAAGTTTTACTTAGTTAGTTACTTTGGTTTGTATTTTTTAAATGGGCGTCACTTGTGTAGCAGTACCTACCTACCCTTCAAGATCACTTCATATTATCCCTAGTTTTTTTTTTTACGGTTTTGTGTTGTTCAGTCTTGAGTTTTCTTTTTTGTGTGTTGTCTTTTCTCCATCTTTTTTTTTCCAGGGAGTTGTTAGTTTATCTTCGACTTTTGAGGTTTAAATGTCTTCTTGGTATCTTCCTTCTCTTATTTAATCAATGTATGAGATTTGAACATCGGTAAACTACTGTTGTCTAAATTATCCAAATGTAGAAAAATTGCAAGATATGACATACGACAACTTATGACGAGGATTCTGACTTGAAAATGTGACGGGGTTAAACTTGTATTTTTGTGACATTGTGTAGCTCTATAGAAATGTTTTCTGTATACACTTATCTATTTTGCTATTTTAGAAAACAATTAGTACATTGACCCAATTTTTTTACTTCTGTTTTCTGACAACAATATATATAAGAGCTTCTCTCGTATTTTTTGGCAAATTCTATCTTTTCTCGGTAGTAATAAGATGTGCTGTCTTTTGATTGAATTTATCGAAACGTTTTGAATTGGAATTTTCGAGTCTGATGAAGTTTTATATTTCAGAATTGGATATCGGGACTCGAAAATCAATATCAAACGCTTTGTTTGTCTACTCGTTACTATACAGTTTGAATGACAGTTTTGAAGAAACCATCCGCCTGGTAACCAGTACCTTTGTACTGGCATAATTTAGAAGTTTAATTTTGACTAAATTTTTAGATTATAGAGTTATATAAGTATATTCAAACTATTTAGACGGTTTTGTTCACACTGGACACTAAACCGCTGTCTGAGATATGTGAGCTCAATAAAGAGAAGTCCTTTAAATGTGAAGTACATTTTAAATGTACATTCGCTCTAAAGTATACCTAAAACCCACCAAGAGTAGAAGACTCATTTACTGGTCATTAGGTAAATGTTATGATATAACATAGTTTAATTAATAGAATTTAAGTATTGTACTTAAATTCAGTTATCACAGTGCGCTGTACCATTTATATTTTGTTTGGTTATTAGTGAGTTTAATATACCATAATCTCATTGGTGGTTACTGAACCTTAAAATCTGACGTACCGAGCCGTTTTCAATTTGGATCCAAGGAGGAAGGCAAAAGACAATTGAACTAAAATATAAAACCAAAAGTCCGCCCTCCCTCCCAATACATTGATTATTTAGTAAATATAACAAGTGTGGGCACAGAGTTGTGTTATCTGATTGGCCAATTTTTGTAATAACTTGTGCAGGGGTTGATGCCTGTAAGTGCACATGCCATTTTAATCAAAACTTTTGTTGTTTGGTTTGCAAATGTGGACACTGTTTTACATCGAAATAGAAAACAGATACTTAAGAAGTAACAATACACCAACAATGAAAGACATCTCTCAGAAGAAACACTTGAAAATTACCATGACTGATATTGTTCTGCAAATATGTTGCATATTTAATTGTCATGCCATAAGACTCCTTACACCAAACTGAAATTTAAAGGAGTAAGATCAAATATATGTTATCGAACCTTTAAATATGAATTTAATGCAGGAAAAAAGCATCAATACTGGAGAATATCAGTAAACAAATTTGTTACTGATATTGAAAAATTTAGCATTTTTTCTGTCTTGTAAATATAATTAGAATTAGAATCTGCTTTGGTTTATGTAATATTTTCAGGTGATGTTTGAGTTGGCATTTCTGAACGCCTACATGTATTTTGCAATAAGGACAGATGAAAAATTCCAGTTGATGTAAAAAGAATTGTCCTCAAAGACTGATTTACAAATGAACTCGGATTTGCAGAATTCGCTGCATCAAAAACATTTCGTTTTATAAATAGTATCATTTACTACAGATGAACAATGTAAGGGTTTTGATCCATCACCTGTGTTCCAACGGTGATCCACATTGTTTTAATCTTATATTCAGTTACCACAATCTGTGTAGTCATTTATATATATATTTGATAGTACGGTTCGGCGATATTCCGGTAACCTCATATTTTCAGATATACAAGTGACAGTTAAATTGCCAGCGATCTGCGGCACATACATACATTTATATTGAGATTACTTATATACAATATGTATAAATTTAAATAATATCAAAGGCTGTGGCCATGCAAATACTGCCAATTTGTTGTTGAGTTTTAACAAGCATCTGGGATAATCGTAGACCGAATTATTATGAATTCAAGTTGTGAATAAAAGAATTGGCTTATTTCAAAACATGCATGTATCAAAAGAGAAGGAGGACAGAAGATGTTACAACTTCAAAACAGAAAAAGGAACATGCATCTCACACGCTGTATATTCTACTGTCTCTGAATTAATAATATGAGCATTTATTTTCAATCTGAGAAGCTTAAAAGAGAGGCGAAGGATACCAAAGGGACATTCAAACTCATAAGTCGAAAATAAACTGACAACGCCATGGCTAAAAAGAAAAAAAAGACAAACCGACAAGCAACAGTACACAAAACAAAACATAGAAAACCAAAGACTGAGCAACACAAACTCAACCAAAACTGGGGTGATCTCAGGTGCTCCGGAAGGGTAAGCAGATCCTGTTCCACATGTGGCAGCCGTCGTGTTGCTCATGTTAGTATACAAACCCGGTGATAAGTCACATTCGGGGAAAAGGGGACGGGATTGTAGTTACGACAATTGGAACATATTCGTTGTCATCTGTGAACTCACAATCCAAGAACCCATAGCTTTTTTGTACTGTTGTTAGGGTTTAACTTGTTGCTTATATTTTTGCAAACATTGCTGTTCAGGTTTATGCTTAAAAATGTTAGAAATTAAAAATCTTGTGGGTGTAAATGTTAGATGTTTATTTATTATTACAAGTCATTCTGTCATATCTAAAAGATCTTTATTTTAATGATAACGACAAAATTTGTTAGATCCACATATATCACTATGGTACCAGTCAATGTACTCCTTTCGGAAACAATATGGACGACACCAACCCCTGTTATTGGCACAGGAATGACTTTCATTTCGTGAACCTGAAAGACAAAAGTATACTGTATGCCATGTTTTTTTTACAATGTATGCTGTTTACTAAAATACTGAATTTTGTTTCTATACTAGAACTTAGTATCAATGAAGAATGATCTCATTTTATAGGAATGAAAGACCAAGTTCCAAATACTATTAAAGTATCATTTGCAGAAGAAAAACCAAACTGCAATCGGTTGTGTCGATTTTAAATGTATCTATCGAATTTCTATTTTAATAAAAATTCACAAAATTTGTTTTAAACATATACATTTCCCTAACATGTTATACAAAAGTTTTCATAAAATTGTAAGATATTGAATAAGTTACATTGTACATATAATGCATATTTTAAAGTTTGTCTTGTCCTATCACACCGATTATGTCAGGATAGATTGGATGAAACACCGAACGTAGAGAGATCTTTCTTTGGGCAATCCTGGCTGACACCCCTATTAAAACTAATATACCAGGTATAAAGCATAATGTTTCTTAAGACTTCCACCTTTTTATGTTGTACTACACCGGATTAATTTACATAATACTTACGAATATTATATCTGACAACTGCCCAAACGCCATAGGCTGCTACCAAAGCTAGAAATACCGGAAGTGCGACTGTCGTTCCCGCGTACGCTGCAATTGGTAATACACCTACATTCCGCTTTTCTTCTTTTTTTTCGGCCACAACTCTTCCTAAAATCGGAGCTGGGATAATCAACAGTGTCGTATATAAGAAACAAAGGATGGCCTTCCTGTTCATTTTTAAATTAACTGTAAATAAAAATAAACAATATTAAGACATTTTTAAGTATTCCATACCATTTTCTAAAAATTATTATGTATTATATCGCGCTGTCTCTTCGTAAAGCATAGAATTAGAGATACGTAAGAGTAATCTGATTAACGAGTTTAAGTACAGGTTAAAACTTTTATAGATGATGGTTTGGAATAAGATTGATTATTTTTGCAGTTACTCTAATCTAAGGCCATACAGTATTGTTAAATTACTAGTAATCGTATTTGAAAATACACGAAACCTTTACTGAGAAATTAAAACACGCCTTGCCCTCCCCCTTATCAAAAAATATTCATATTTACTCCATATAATCATATAATAACCCACGGTCTCGGTTCAAAGGAATAATGGAATATGTGGTCACTTCAATTGACTATCCCCAGGGATGACTGACTGCCCGGGGTATAATATATGGATACCTGATTTTTTTCTACCGATAAAGGGACGAACGTTTGACCATTCAGAATATATAAATACGCAGATAAGTCCGGACAGAATGGAAGCCTTAAATTCAAGGCATCATGAAGGAAGAGTGCCACACTCTTTATACGCTCAAGACCAACAGCTGTGACAACTATTTGAGGGGTCGGTCCGTGGATGACCTGTTGCACTGAAATATATTTGCCTTGTCGAGCATACTTTTTCCGGTAGCCGTCCATATTTCGTGTATTTTATCTATAAAAACAAGAAGATGTGGTATGATTGTCAATGAGACAACTCTCCACAAGAGACCAAATGACACAGAAATTAACAACTATAGGTCACCGTACGGCCTTCAACAATGAGTAAAACCCATACCGCATAGTCAGCTATAAAATAGTTTCGAATCGGCTCACTTTCAGAACCTGCATATTTAATTTATTTTTAAATTGGTCTTGCCCTGGACATGTGCAAATGTTTGCATTTGAATTCTTAGAAAACAACAATCAATATATCTTGATCATCCATTTTCAATTAAAACTTATTTTGATTAATAGAATTGTACATCGGTGTAAACAGGATAGCAAACATGTCTCCAAAACCAACACTTGACTAATTAACCTAATAAGATGTTTGAACTCCTTTTAGGAACCCAAAATGCAGAAAAAAAATCCTTTAAGAGGCCGAATCTTAACCAAACCGAAACCAGCAGCTCCATGGTGGGGGAGGTAATGCTATTTGAACCCCTTTTGAACACAAAACCCCAAACCCCAAAACTGCAGTGAAAGCTCTTTTAAAGTCCATTTAAAAGATGGGTATTGGTTTGATCCCCTGACTAGACAAAACTGAATTGTATTTACACACATTGAAGACTTTATAATACAATTTTCCTTCTTAAACAACATTTCAAAGTATCTATGAATGGTGTTTGCCTACTCATATAAATTTAGGGGTTATTCATATTTATTTTGCTGTAAATTACCGTAAGATTCTTTGGTAAACAATACCTTGTGGTTGTGGTACAAGTTCAGGTGCGAGAAACCCGGAATGATAATAAAACAAGTACTTAGTAACTCTGAGTTGGGATGCTAACATGAAAGTCACCCAAACAGAAACGGTATATTATTCAATTGAAACAGTATCTGGAACAAAATAGGTCGTTCTCCTTATAACATGTAAATCTTCAAGTTTCAATCACAAAATGGTTTTTGTGTTATAAATACACAAAAAATTAAATCCTGTCAAACTGAATATGATTTATAAAACATGTTAAACAACAACTTATAGTCTTGGGGATATAAAATAGTTCGAAATTTTCCTCCTTTGAGCCTCACCAACTAGGCAAGAGGGTGTCTCCTTGCGAGACTCTTTTTTTTTTTAAATGTTGAATGCACATCTAGGGACACATGAAGCAACATGATGCCAAATATAGTTAATATCCTTTAACTCTAATAAGAAATTGTCTGACAAGTTCAGGGTAAAAATTATAGCATAGAAAACATATAGTATAATAAAAAAAAACGGAACAAGACCAATAAGTTTCAAAAACTATGGTTTGGGTGAATTGATAATGATACATGTAGACAGGTCAAAAGCCGTTTACGTGAAAAAATAAAGTTTTTTACTGTTCGGATTAAATCGATTATCTGTATTAGGTTTTATCATTTGTTTTCATTTATTGTTTGCTGCTAAATTTTAAATAACAGGTGTGCGTTTGGTTAAATGTGGTTCTTCAAAGCGAGGGACCGTTTTGCCGTATGGTTTGAAACTTCCTTGTTATCGTTTCGTTATTTCGCTACAAGTTTTGTATTAAATTTGATTTCATATTATCTTTCATGCGTGATTTTATGAGGTCTCTGTTAGTATATAACATTTTTTACAGTTTAATTGGTTTTTTTTCTGTGTATAATAAGGATATTGTTTCAATTACATTGACCCCATATACTTGTGAGAAGTAAAATTTGAATTTTTCTGTTTTATTTCAAAATTCAATGAATCTGTTAACAAACGCTAAGATATACATTTATATAAACTAATTTGAATAACATATCAATCTATTATACTTTTTTAAAACAAGTATTCGGTAACTAATGAACGCTCCTAATTCTAAAGCACATATAACTCTTCTGAATACCAAAGTTTTTTAGAATACATTGTCCGGTTTGTTTTGCCTTACTTATATAAGATTAGATATTTATTAATTATAATAATTACTATAGTATTAAATGTCTATTTGCTTAAAAGAACAATGTTTCAACTGGGAATTTATAACACATATGGTATGGAATATTTTGAAAATATACTTCAAATTGAGACAGAATATTTGTTTCATTTGGTACTCTGATAAAAAAAAATATAAATAAATTCAACATACCAATAGTAAGCGACCTCTGACATATGTAATCAAAAAACCTCTTCTGATGCTAATTTTCAATATAAAATAGCGTGCTAACATCGCGTGATGTGTTACAACATATGTTGTTTATTCCAATCTTTACTATATCATTTACATACCATTTTTAAAGAAATAGAAACCAATATCAAAATGATCCCAGTATTTACTTTACATATTAAGAAAAAGGGATGTGAGGTATATGTTAATCAGACAGAAACCCTCGAACACTAGCACACACACAAACACCCCAATACATAACAGTGTTATACAAAACAGTAAGACTCGGCTTTCCAAATAATGTGTCGTTTTTCAGCTCACCTGGTCTTAGAACGTTTGAGCTTTTGCAATCACTTAGCGTCTATTGTCTGTGTCGAGTGTTCATCGTATACTTTTTCAAATATTTCCTCTGAAACTACTTGACCAATTTCCCCGTAATAGGTCTTCATGATCCTTTGTGTATCTTTTATAAATTTTATGCTTTTATTCTTGCCAGTTAACCAACATGGCTTATAAATGGTTAAAAATAGAACATAACGGGTAAAATGCATTTATTGTTTTATATCTTGAAAACCGTAATAGATAGAGAAAACTCTGGCAGGACAAACGGAGACTAAAGGCGTTATTGCCCTCCAATGGCGATTATTGGCTGTTTTTGCCTATCAACTCAAAATCTATATTAGGTTAGAAGAAACGATCAATAGCAAAAATGATCAGCAATACAAAAGTCTACAAAAGTGTTAAATGACAGTAACAGTTGAATGAATCCTTAAGGAGTTATTGCCATTTAATGACGATTTTTGACTACTTTTTAGTGTTTTTGTCTATTATCTGTAAAACTATAATAGGTATAGGTCAAAACTGTAAACCACAAAAAGTATTAGTAATACAAGATTTACAAAAATGCCAATCAACCAAAATAATTGAATGACTTCTTGAGGAATTATTACCCACAAAAGACAAATGTCGTGTACCGCATGCACTTTTTCAAAGATCTTCTGTACTGAAATTAATGACCAAATTTCAACTAATATTTAGGTCAATAATTCTTATGATATTTATCATAAAGTATGTGTTTTTTAATCCAGACAGACAACCAACATGGCCACCATGGCTAAAAATATTAAAGAATCTTTGTGAGCACGCTCACATACCCCACGCCCCCACATTGTCACTGGGCAAACAAAGTATTACCGGATTCCTAAGTTCAAAGACTTATAACTCCTACAAAAGTCAACTGATAAAAATCTCTTGTGGATATTGCCATTTACATATTATGTCCTTATTATCTACAAAGATTCGTGAAATTCTGTTGTGTGGATTCAGAAAAGTTGCAATGACAAACTGTTGCAGTAGTATATATAGGCCAAAATTCTAAGTTCAAAGGGGCATAACTCCTAGAAAAAATGAATCATTATTTCCTGTCGATATGCACATCTACATAGTATTTCCTTATTATCTACGATATTTCATGAAATTCTGTTGTGTGGATTTAGAGAAGTTGCAGTAGTATTAGTTGGCCAAAATTTTAAGTTCAAAGAGGCATAACTTCTAGAAGAAAAAAAATTGAATCATAATTTCCTGTAGATATGCACATCTACATAGTATGTCCTTGTTATCTACAAAGTTTCATGAAATTCTGTTGTGTGGTTTCAGATGAGTTGCAGTAGTGTTAGTAGGCCAAAATTCTAAGTTCAAAGGGCATAACTCCTAGAAAAAAATTGAATCATAATTTCCTGTAGATATGCACATCAACATAGTCCTAAGTTCGCTTTGTAAACAAAGTCGTGTTATAATTAGCACAACATATGTTTGACACATGCGCACAACATTACTGTTTACCGTAATTCTCGTTATTTTCATTCATATCCTAGTAAAAAATATATATTTTAGCTGCTAACATAAAATTTTATTATATAATGTTATCAAAATATCATATCTTTACCCTGCTATTAGTTTTTAAGGCCAAAATCCCCACGGAATAAAGTTCCGTAGGGTATAATGTTTGTGACCCGTCCGTCCGACCGTCCGTCAGCCCTGTTAACAATAATAATGATAATAATAATAATAATACATGTATCTTTATTCAAAGAGAGTAACTCATTTGGATTAAACCAATTTTCAATAAGGCTCTCTACATACAATATTAACTACGTAAAACATAATCAATCTGCTAATATACAAATATAAACAATATATATTTATACGTATATATATATATGTATTGTTTAAATATACTTTTTCACTTTTTTGGCCTTTTGGAAAATGTTGTTTGTGCTGTTTTGGACCCCTCTACCAAGAAATTTGTTTTGCATGCACACGTATAAAAATTGCGGTTTTTATCCAACGCAATCATAGGTTTGAACGTTGTTTTCAATTTAGACTTATAAATATATATATACAAACATATAACAAAAAAGATACACCTGTAGTATACATTGTAGTTAAACTTATAAATTTCACACTTTGTTAGAAATATAATGACTTGTAAGAGTATTTGAATGCAGCTACAGCTTTTGATTTTTTAATTTCACTGGATATAGTGAATTCCACACTTTTGTACCACTAAAAGAAAAACTTGATTTGTATAATTCTGTATTTGATTTAGGGACAATAAAATTATCTGATGATGAAAGTCGAGTATTGTTCGTTTGTTTACTATTTGTAAGCACAATAAGATTTCATAAATATTTTGGTGCCAGTTCATGTTTTGATTTATACATTAATAATGACTTGTGGTAAAGTATTCTCTTATAGTAACTGGAATTATTCCAGAATCCTTAAATAGTTCAATAGATGGTTTATGAATATCGTGTTCATTTAAAATAATTCTAGCTGCCCTTTTCAGTAATTTTAGTAAACTGTCAATTAAAAACCTGTTACATTTTTCCTAACTGAACAACGCAACAGTAATCCAAATGTGGAAGATTATAAGCATTGTAAAATAGAATTCGTGCATTATGATCAGAGACATATATACACAAGTATTTCTTGATTCTATTTAAAAACGCTAATGAAAATTAACTTTTTTGATAATATGATTAATATGATCATACCAATACAGAGTTGTGTCAACAAAAATACCAAGAACTTTTTCACAGTGACTTTCATTAATATGTTGGCCATTAATGGATATATTTATATTTAGAGGTACATATCAACAAGAAATTATTATCAGTTGTTCTTGTCATCGCAACTCCTCTGTAACCACACAATAGAAATTCATGAAACTTTGTAGATAATAAGAACATACTTTGTAGATGTGCATATCGTCAAGAAATTATGATTCAAATTTTATCTAGAAGTTATGACCCTTTGAACTTAGAATTATGGCCTAAATATACTACTGCAACAGTTTGTCATCGCAACTCCTCTAGAATTTCACGAAACTTTGTAGATAGTTAAGGCATACTTTGTAGATTTGCATATCCACAGGAAATTATGATTCAATTCTTTTTCTTTGAGTTATGCCCTTTGAACTTAAAATTTCGGCTTAATTGTTCTACTGCAACAGTTTGTCATCACAACTCCTCTGAAACCACAAAACAGAATTTCCTGAAACTTTGAAGATAATAAGGACATAATATGTAGAGGTACATATCAACAAGAAATTATTATCAGTTGACTTTTGTAGGAGTTATGAGTC